TTCTACCTTTTGGCAATAGATGTTAACGACAACAACAGAGGGTGGAATCTTTATTAAATTAGAAACGAAAGTATTTGTTTTTACATCCAGTGGAAAATAAAGTCAATTCGGCATAATTAAAGTTGTTATTAAAAAATATGTCTGACATTCTGAATCGTTTAAAGAATGACTATTGTCAACAAATATAACCAAATCCGGAATGTTGTCAACGGGTGTGAACTTTCGTTTCCTTAAAATATTAGTAATAGTTAGAATATAGATAATGTACTTTTTATTTGTAACTGATTATTTTTACTTAATTTCAGTGGACATGTACACGATATCATGAATATAAACTAACTTGATATTAATGATCTCGAACTTAATATATACATATTTGTATATGCATAGCATTTATTTACATTCCTTTACCGCCGTTTTGAGGGTCATTATTAAGATAGGATAAAAAAAATCTCTTATAATTCTATCATCAACATAAAAACTTACATGTTGGTGCTATAATTCTTTTCCTTCTTGATATTTCACCTAAATGAGCTATTCATTTTCTATATGATATATATGTATTATATAAATAATGCGCTGTTTACTTTTATATCTATAAATTAACTTAATAAAGGTGAACTTCTACTAGATACGTTGGAATAAACTTAGTCAACAACTCCTAACATTACATGAACAGGCCCGTCGTCACGATTTTGTGATTGGTGCGGCCAATTTGGTATGTCTTAGTCAGAATCTAGGGGGGTACGGGGGCATGCTCCCCCGGAAAATTTTGTATTCTAGGATGCTCTCAGGGGCGTTTTTCGCGTATATTTGGCACAGTTTTCAGCCTGTCGCTAGTACATGTTATAGTAAAATGTCAGCGATTTTTTACAGATTAAAGTGGTGAAAATTAAGGTTTGCATAACGGACGGGCAGGTGTACATAAAAAATTGAATACATGTAATTGATATTTGGCAAATGAAAAATAAACAATAACTGATGTTGTTATAATTCTTTAGATGCATTTTATCTGATAATTATTGTAAAACAAATACAATATATTACAAAATATTACAGTACGTGGATTTTTGTTTTAACATAAATCACACAATGGTATAAGCTTAAATAACAATCGATGCCATGATGGAAGAATATTACATAAAGAGTCAACAATAACCGCTTTTTGTTTAGCAGTAACTTGTATTTTGTTCAAATAATCATACAAAATACAGAGTCTCATTTTATGTAAAGTTTCCAAAAACACATCGCCGTCGTTCTCTGGTGGTAATGAACTCGTCGGCAATTACACATAAGTTGAGTGAATCTGTCCTGCACTTTTGAATATGTAACACCATTAGTTTGTTCAAGCGTACTTGAGACATTATAGATCTCAGGTATGTCTTTATTCTTCTGAGCGCCGAGAATGTCCTATCACTGGTAGCATTAGAAGCAGACATTACTAACAAAATCTTTAACAACACAACGACATCAGAGAACAGTGCTCGTTCTAGCACAGACTGTTTTGACACAAATTTCAAAACGTCAGGTAGAGTAACAGTACTATTATCTGCTTTGTCGAATGTGAACGTAGCAGCTGAAGCTGCATCTCTAAGATGTCTCAGTTAATATCGTTGCCATAGAAATCACAAACAAAACCAAGTTTTCTAGTGCACTCGGTCTTCAAAGGTTGTCCGGCCTTAATAGTTCTATAGTACGCGATATCCCGGTTGGTCAAATCTCTATTTAACACTGGCCATGGCAAGATCGATTTCTTCAAAATACTTAGGCCGGGACCGTCCCTGCACTGTAATTATGTAATTGAGTAAGTTTAATGAGTTGATTATGGATTTATTTCACGAGCGAGCCTCTGTCGAGTATCATATTGTATTCATCGAGTTCAATAAATTCAGTAATGAACTTAATCGAATTTAATATTTTGTTTATTACATACCAAAAATAAGTACCTTTTGAAGTGAAAAAGAACCATTTTTCATTGACGCCCATAGAAAAACGCTAACATTTATTGAGTATAACGCAAATGACGTCAAAATACGTGCACGGCCGTGCAATACCATTTTCACGGGAGTCGCAAAAACGGCACGGATATGTGATAAAAACATGACTTTTGGATGGTTACCGTGTACAAAAAATAAAATGTTATCAAGTACTCGGAGAATTCATGCATACTAGTTTAAGATATTCATAATATATACGGTGAACTGTCCGAAGCCACGTCGATGTCAATTAACTTCACACTTAACTTCAAGTGGCCAGTTAAGTGTCAAATCGCTTATCAGCGATGCGGTTTTTTGTTTGTTTGTTTTTTTTAACTCATTTTGGCCAAAATATTGGTCCGGCCAAGGGCGGACCGGCCGGACCATCGACGACGGCCTTGATGAATACTATTTGTTGACATGTTTAGTTTCTTAGCGTAGGTTACACCGACGTACTGTACCCGTTCCGTTTATCCTCACTATGGTGTTTGAAAGGTACCACACCACATTATTTGAACAGCTTCGAATGGCCAGGGAGAATTTCTTGGATATAGTATAGTGACTATTCTGGATTAAATGACTGGTTCTCTTTTTAAGTGCATTTTCAGCACGATTTTTTTCTTTCTGACTTATAATGTGGTCACTGGCAAATTCAAAAACAAGGCCAGAAATCACATGCTGTTTATTCACACTGACTTAAGTTCAGATCTACTTAAATTATAATTTTTTCTTGCATGTAGATCTGATTGCCGCCGTATTTGTTTCGCCTTCGATATGATTCGGATATCCCGAGAAAGCTACGTTTAGCCATGCAATAAAACCATCCATTAGACGAAGTATCAAAATATCGTTGTTCGTGGAAGTAAAACAAATTGTTGAGTTTTGTTAGAAAAATATTGTTAGAAGTACATGTACATTGTGTAATTTTAAACAATCTTGAAATATTAGACTAAATTTTTAATGGGCAAGTTTGTTTTCGAAGTCGTGAAAATCACTGTGATAGTGTTTTGTGTTTTTTTTGGATTTTTTTTGTTGTTGTTGATAGAAACGCGTTAGAGTTGCAAACAGACATTCTTATGACTGAACAGAATATATCTGTAACAAAACAGAGAGTATGAAAATAAACAAAATGGGTGGTAGCCTTTCATTAGTGGAGTAATGGCTAATTTTGAATGTTTCGACATTTTCAGACAGGTCATTCCGTGGATAAATGGGGGAAACACTACACACAAGGCCCATCTAATATATTCACAAATATAAATTTCAGATAAAGATAAACAACATATAAATGTAATGGCTAGATGAATTTGTTTTATTAAGCAACATCATACATAACAAATGGAATAAGCAAGAATTTATTTAATATTAGTCGAACACGATACCGTTTTCATTACTCAGTGGTACAAGGGTTGCGCAAGTAATTAATTATTACATTTTTGCTTTTTTATTGCGCTAAAAGTATAAAATAAGTGTGGGTATCTGTACGTAATTGCTTAGAGCTTTCAAGTTGAGAAAATGGTGTCTCGAGTGCTCACAATTTGCCTTTGTAAATACTCAAGATGCGATTAACAGAATGCTTCCATAAATGAATTTTCGACACCCCTTGTCAATATTGATGTATACAAATAATGAAAGCTTTATGCAACATTGCCTCGATAATAATAAATTTACTAAAAACATGGTCACGTGCATAACGTCACGGGATACCCAATAATAAACCAGATTTCAAGAATGATTTAAGAGTCAGTCAGACAACGCTCTTATATATTATCTTTTTTTTGCAATTAAAGAGATAATATATATCAACCTAAAATCTTAAATCAAAGTAAAATGACGATTAAAGCACTTCCATATCCATTTTGTTTTTTGTTTTTATTTGATTCTCCTATTATTAACACGTATACATTGTCTCGTGTCATTGATATTGTGAGGCACGCATGTGTCAGGTAAACTTTCCAGTGTTTAACCCCGAGCTTGTCTATATCTGTAACAAGTATAACAACACTTCCTTGAAATTTCTGGATCATCGCAATTGTCCAGGCCATACTGGCTGATGTATGCAGGGCAGTCCAACGCCTCTCCCCCACTGTAGAACAACACGGGAGAATCCCCGTACTCACAACCTTAATTAGATAAATAAAAATATTCACATTACTTTGTATTGAACTTTATTGAATGTACATGGACAAAAAAGAAAGAAAGATAAGGAAACATATCCGTGAGATGTTCCGAATATCTGTATGAATCTGTGATCATTATCGAAGAAGTTCTAAACAGCCAGAAATACAAATAAAATATATAGAAAGCCTTCACCTTTTGCTTTTCTCTTTATAATTTTTTACTATTGTTTAAATTATTTTTTTATTTTTACACGAATCAACAAATTATTATCAAATTATCTTACCGGGAATATTTTCTCTAATTCTTTGCCTGAGGCTTTTACAAGAAGCGCAACAAATTTCTTGGACTTCTCGAATGTAACAATCTATCCTCAGTTTTCCGTCAGCGCTGTATGGTCTACACATGTCTGGACTCTGATTGCCCCATCTACATTCTACACAGGACATGAACATTAAAATACTAGTATACATTACTTTTATGTAGCCTGCATAGTTGTACAAGTTCGGTACACTTACTAAATATATATGCGATGTTAAAAATAACTTAAGCGCTATATTGCCGTTAAAGATAAAGTAACATTTGTTCCAATATGATATTGACATTATGCAAGATGTTTAAAAGTGAAAATGTTATGTAATTGTGCGTGACGCGAACGGTGTTACTCTTTCTTAAAAAAATCATAAATGAAAGGAAATGTTAATTTCAGGCCGTTACAGCCTAACTTAGTACTGAATGAATTTACTGTCTTATACGTTCTTTATACATTTCGTCTTTAACAGAAAAGAACGGTATGGACTAGCCGAGTGCACTGGTTAAGGTCATTGACTTTTAATTTCTTGCCACACGCCGGGGCTCGAATCCCGTCACGTACTTTGGATTCGTTCATGTAAGGACGCTGTCCAGCTTGCTTGTTCTTCTCAGGTGCCCTTTCGTGCCTGAAATAATACACGTAAAGGAACCTGAGGTTTTCCACAACCATTAATTCTGGAAGGTCGCCGTAAAATCTAACGAAACAAATAATTAAATTACCTGGCTCCTGTCTATTTTCCAGCCTAGGACAAGTATGACAACAAACCCTTTGATTTTCTGGCTGGTAACACAGATGTGGTTTTTGTATAATCATTTCACAACGTGGTGTCATATCCCAGTACTCACAACCAACTGTCAAACAATATAATAGCATCTAAGACTACAAATGTTGAATTGGTAATGCAAGGAAAGCATTATATTTTCTTCTTTTTTTCAACAAAATATCATATTTTAAACACTTAAAACATATCCTATAGTAATATACTAGTACATGTACATAAACATTAGAAGGTCTTTGATACAAGTTTGACTTTGACAATAACAATAACGGCTGATATATAAAATAATATACGAGTATATACATGTATATAAAAAGAGGAAGAAAAAAGTGACATAAACTTCCTTTTGTCATGGACTCACAACTCAAATAACTATTTACAAGAATATTTTTTTTCTATTAAGTCCAAACTGGCAGTCCTTCATTAATTACACGAAACAGAATACAAATACACATGGTTTTTTGTACGTATTTGATATTTTTGTCTTAAAAAGAACTTTCTAACCTTGTTAAGAGCACAAATTGGCGCAACTACAGATCAAAGTTATAAAGTGTAATAAGCGTAATATCAGAATAAAAGAAACAAAAGTTAACCAGAAAAGCCTGGATAATATCAAACTTTGGCAAGTTGAATTTGTTTTGAATTCTTCAATTTACGAGAAAATTATCTAAGTAATTGGTATCCAAGGACATATTTACAAACGTTTTAAAGCTACCTATGTTTAAAACGCCCAAAATTTCATTGAGTTTTTTTAAAAGGCGGATTAAGTTTACATCGTATTTCTTTAGAAAAAGTTTTTGCGGTTAAACCCATAAAACGGGTTTTTTTTCATTTTCCCCCAATGAAAAAAAAGTTTAATCATATTTTAACCATAAAATGAAAAGGCTTTTAAATAAGATTTTTATTTCTGCTTTTCCCCCGCCCAAAACCAAACTATTTAAATTTTCACTATGGGTACGACTCATGAAAAAAATTGATCTTGGGGTTCACTAAGTGAAATATATTTCGATCTTACATCCAAAACAAACAAATATCCTCAATATATACACAGCTGCTGTCAATTTATGAAGAAATCACATTTTTTTCCTTTATAAAAGATGTTTGCTGTTTTATAAATTCGTTATAAAGATTTTTTCACAGGTTATATGGCCGTATACAAACGGTTGTTTGCAATATAACCATCGCCATGCGGCTCTGGTTATATACTGTAAATGCGGTATTATTCGCGATGTTTTAATTTTCGCTATCATTCGCGAATCGAGTGCGTCGCGAATCCATGATGCCGCGTAAATTTTACAAACAACCGTTAATATAGGGACATATAGCCTGCCAAAACATTTAAAACTAATGATATAAACGCCTGTTTGCATATATAACCCGCGGAGATAGGCGATGGTTAATATACGGTGCTATAACATGTCAATTACCTCCATAACGAATTTATAACACTGTAAGCTTCCAGTTTTGTGTATAAAAATTATACTACTTAGTATTTCATAAGTTGACAGTTTTGGTAGCAAACACAATACCTCACCTGTACTAGATTGAGCTCTTTGTTCTCTAAATATTCGACATCTATCACAGCATACCTGCCTGTTTCTTTCATTGTAACAATCATACGGATTAATATCTCGACATTGTTGTGATCTGTCACCATATTCACATCCTGAAATAAATTGACATTAAATGTATATACGAGATACATGTACAATGTAGTGCAAGTCATTTTAGAAGTTAAGCTTTATGTATCCTAATTAGCTGAACGAAAGCAAAGTAATGCCATTGTTATCAAAGATTATGAAGAAAGATATAAACTATAGGAGGTCCGATTTACGTAAATACGAAATCTGTTCATGACAAACATACTGTACTAAAACTCTTCATGACAGACATTATGTACTAAAATTGTTCATAAATAACAATCTGTACTGAAAGTGTTCACGACAAATGTTTACAATATGTACTAGAAGTGTTAATGACAAACAATGTCTACTACAATTGACCATGACAAACAATGTGTACTTAAACTGAACACACCGCAGTGCTCGGTTACAGGCATTGAAACTGACACGATCCCCGCGTCATTTTATTAAATCAAAGACACAGATGATATAAAAGCTACCTTACCAGTATTCTCGGAATTTTTCACTTGTAAACACCGTTCGCAACATTCAGTGGACACTCTTTCATAATTGTAACAGACGTAAGGTCCGAGCTGTGCTACAGCGTTCGTGCACGATAGTCCGTTGATAGTGACACGGACGTTCATGGCTGTACAAGTCTTAAAGAACAAGAAAAACGTGTTTGGCAAATTAATAAATGTATAAAATAAGTTAGAAATGAAACATTTTTATTTAAATAATAAAAAAAACAGTTTACAATGTACTTATTCAAGTACGCGCATGTTTAATTTTCCAATTTAATGGATGTTTCTACTTATCAAATGCTTATTTATTTGAATAGTGTGCTTTTAAACGTGCATAGCGTGCTTTATTCTTCTTCTGATGGTTTACACACACAAAAAAAGAAAATAATGTGCTTATATAGAAGACACGTTTCATTCCTTAGTATCGGAGCGAAAACACAAAGCTGATTTTAAATAATGAGAATTAATTAAATCATTCGGCATATATTGTTTTATTAATTACTACTCACAGGATCAGAAGATATTTGTGATGTAATGGGGTCATAAGTCGTCTGGTAGCTACTGCCACCGCTATAGAACTGTGTTCCACCATAACTATTTACAGGTCTGCTTCTATCGGCGGCGTCTACATAACTACCACCTTGATTATTGCCATATGTTCCACTCTGGTAAGGTATAAACCTCCCCGAACTGTCGTAATACCCATTGCTGGAACTTGTCCCACTAGTATATCTTCTATTGTTGTTATAGTAACCCGAGTTAGTTCCCGAAGAAGGTAAACCTCCGTTGCTTCCGGAATAGACATGCTGGTATGTCTGCATGCTTGTCATTGTGGCATCATTGTAGCGTCCACTTACATCATAATAACGACCGGTTGAGTCTAAATGGCGTCCGTGTGCATCAACGTAATGACCATTGCTGTCAACATATCTAGGCCCATTGTAAGGTGCACCCCTTACTTCTGTTCTAGAACGCTGGGAAGTTGTTCCACTTGTACCAGTATTGTATCTGTTATATTGTTGGTTTGCTCCAGAACCCGTGTATACTCTTCTGTTAGTGACCGTTTGTCTCGAATTGCTTGGATATCTGTTTCCGTACTGATTAGTGTTTGATGAATCCCCTCTACCTGTTGTAAAACCTGAGTTTTATCTCGATGGTCTGTAAGGTACGATTTTTCCCAAACTTGTTTTTCGGGTGTGTTTTTCATATGACATTTTTTTGGAGAATCTGAAAAAAATTTCCCCCAAAAACCCCACTCTTCGGGGACGCCCACTGTTTTTTTGACCCATCTTTTTTCCGGGTTCCCCTTTGTTGGGGCCCAAAAGAGGGTTCCACTGTATTCATATGAGAGGGGGCCCTCGAAAAAGGAAAATTGGAGCCCAAATTTTCCTCTCTAAATTTTTGAGGTTTGTTTCTTTTTTTTCGCATCATCCCCCTTGCTTGCCTGCAGAAACTATCCCTGTCCCCTCATTTATTTGCGGGAATTCCAGAATTCTATTTCAGGTTGGAATAATTTACTCTCGGTTTCAAAACTTTCAAACAAATTCTGAGGTGCAACGCTGTCGTCTAAATCTGCGCCATTAGGATCTAATGGTTCAGACGCCCGGTACGTTCTACCATCAACATACGGGTAATCCTACAATGTTAATTTGTATTAGATTTGATGTGACGAAATTATTTCCACTGAAACTTAAAACCTTATAATTTAATTTTTACATACTAACACCTAACATATTGACCTTAGACATAATTTCAGTGTCAGGAAGAGTTGTTGATTTGTTTTTGTTAAAAAATATGATGGCAAGGCTCAGCTTCTTGCTGCGCACAACTACCGGGACGACATCCCCGGTATTAAACCTATACGTAACGTACGTATACACTTCATGAATGTAGTTTAGCGAAATCAGTACCCGTGGGTGGGCGATGCCGGGATGATGGCAACAATAAAGTTAAGTGTACGACTGCTTTAAATAAAATTTTTTATTTTATAAAACCATCGCAAAATAAAAAATATATTTTTTTAAATCGAACGGAAAATAAAATCTTCGAACAAAATATTTTTTTAAGGTACCCTTTTCTGGTTTTTATGATTTTTTTATAATTTTTAAAATTAAGGGGAATCTATGAAATTTTCCACGAAAATTTTAAAAAGCTTGTTTCATATAAATATAAAAAATTTACCCCCACTTTTGGGAAAATCGTCATCTTCTCTTTTTTTAAATACATGCCTTATTTTCTTGGGGTTTTTTTTTCGGGAAATATATCAGAAGTCTTAAAAAAACTCTACCATTTATAAATGTCATTTCCGTTTGGGAAAACTTTATTAAAAAAATTTGGAAATTTACCCAAAATTGAAAAAATATGGAAATCGGGACGTAAAACTTAATTGTACAATAAAAATTTTCGCTCTTAAAAATTTTTAAATAAAACTTTTTCTTTCAGTAAAAACGATTTTTAAAACCAAAATCCCGGGTTCACCCAGCCCTTTTTAAATTTAAATTTTTTTACATTTTATAAAAATTGCCCATAAGGGTATTTGGATGTAAAAGGGGGCAACTTGTCAAAAATTATAAAAAAATTTAAAATACTTGGCCTTATTTAAACATGCATCTATATAATATTTTTTTTTTAAATTCTTTAAATGCTAAAAATAAAATACACTTTCAAAAAATTTTTTAAAATTTATATTTAAATTAATAATAAATTGTATTAATGAAAAAAAGAATGATGAATAAATAAAAAATAATGAATGAAATGATGAATAAATTTAAATTTAATTTAAATTAATAAATGAAAAAAATGTTATCAAGCCCCTCGAGTTGGGAGAAAGTTTTTTTAAAAAAAAATTTTGACTTTTATAGATTAAGTTTTAATTACCCTTAAAATTAAATTTTAATGGGAAAAATTTTAAAAAGTACGTTTTTAAAATAACGTTAACTATAATTGGGCCACTGCGAATCTAACTAAATAAAATTTTTTCCAAAAATGAAAACATGGTTTATATAACGTTTACATCCCAAATTTGTTTTGTTGTTTCCGTTTTTGCCCCGGGGAAACCCTTCCCATGTTTTAAATTAAAACCCAAAATCAAAAATAAAATTTGAAATTTTTATTTTTAATTTTGCGCACAAAAATTTTTTCCCGGAAAAAAACTTTTTTAAATTTTAAAAAAAAATTTCCCAAAAACCACCAAAACCATTTCCCAAGGAACCTTTAAATTTCGCGGGAATTTTACTTTTCGAACGCAAAACTTCAGGGTTCACAGATTTAATAAATCCCCCCTCTTGTGTAAAATTTTTTCTGGGGAAAGATCAAAAAAAATTGAAAAAGAAAAACCCATTGAAATTGTTTTGTAGAAAAATCCAATTCCCTATTTCCGTTTTTAAATTTTTGGGAAAAGAGCAAAAAGTTTTTTTAAAAGCACGGGAAAAGGCCATAATAACCAGTTCTCAAAATAACTTTGATATTTCCCCAAAAATTTTTGGGGTTTTCAATAGGAACTTTTTTGTAAAAAATTTAACATTTTCCCATTTAAGGCCATTTTCAGTCTCAAAAAAAAATTAGCCCGCACGAAAAAACCAAAAAACTGTTTCCGCCAGCATGGATCCGCACCCGGATCCGGCACCCTGACGGGATCCATGCGTTCGTTTACAAGCTCTATAAAAAGTAAAACTGAAGCGAAAAAGAAATGATCCTGACCCAGACTCGCGGATCGCAGGCGCGGGATCCAGTTTTTTTGAAATCCCCCATTTTTTGGGTTTTTTGTCTGACGCGCCCCAATTTATTGTAGAAAGGGCAAACGCGGTTTCTTTTATTTGTTAAACTTTGCTTATCCCCTTTAAAAAGTTTGTTAAAGGGGAAATATTTGTAATAAAGGAGAAAAAAGTAAATGAGAAGTTTTTTGACTTCCATTACTAAAAAACCAAATCGAAAAATTTTAGCTTAATGTAAAAATTATTGAGCAAAATGAAAAATACAAACAAACAAAAATGACAAAAGCTATTTTTAAACCAATAAACTAAAACGGGAAAAAACAGAAAAAACAAAAACTTTTTAAAAACTTTTAACTAAGTACATCATCTCCCTACTTTTTAAAATTTTGTTAGCTCCCATGAAAATTAAACAAACAAAATCAGTTTATACATTTTACTATGAAATATCGTTTCATAACAACAAACAACAAAACATTATTTTATGAAATGGGGCATTTACTGTAAATTTTTAAAAATAATAAGTTTTATAGGGAAATTTTTTTGAACCAAAACAAACTTTTGGAGAAGGCTTTGATTTTAATTTCAACATTAGCATTACAGGACAAAGAAAACAAACAAATGGCTTTAAAAATTAAAGTATTTTCCCTTTTCATTTAAATTTCAATGTTTTATTTTTGAGGGGGAAATTGGGGTTTCATTCTATTAACTTTCCCAAATTTAAAAAACTAATACAGTGCAGGGTTTATTATTTTATTTACCTTCATCTTTTTAGTTATATTTTTGATTTTTTTTTAATAACCCTTTTTTTTAAGAAATTTTTTTATAACTTTTTTTTAAGTAGTTTACTTTTTTTAAATGATAAAAAAATGCCTAAAAAAATTTATCACAAGAACCGTAAACCCAATCCACAAAAAACGCATAATTCAATTATGAAAAATATTTTAAAATTTATTTAAATTTCTTTTTTTTTTATATGTCTCTGGTTTGAAAAAATTGGGATAAAACAATTCATGTAAAAATGTAAAAAGTTTTTGGAAGACCCTGTTATTCGGAAAGGGATGGCTTCCCCAAATCATTTTAAAATTGTCCAACCCCACCGGGTATTTAGGAAATTTAAATAGAAAATTTTATGTAACCCGGGATCACCACCTTTCCCTTAAAATTACTCGTTAATCGTAAAATTAAAAAACTTTTTCTCAAAAATTTTAAAAGAAGCAGTTGCCTAGTTTCGGTTTGAGCGCGTGTTGGGCGGTATTTGTATTGTACAAAAATTCTTTACATTTGGGATTGTCTTGCAGTTTTATTCTTCTTGTTTTACTGTTGTTTTAATCTTTTTTTATTTGCTCTAAAAGTCTCATGACACGTGAATTTATATTATCGTGTTATAGATCCATTTTCTAGCACTGTTTTCGTTTGCGCATTATTTTAGATTTTTCAAATGAGCAAATTGAATTACTTTACAAATCAAAATAGTCTTATCAAAATAAGGAGACAGAAAACGTGCAATACCGTCTTAAATTGAGAAGAGATCAAGAAAGCATTATGGTGAGTATGCTTCAACCTTTGATACGCCGTTTTACCCATAACCTCGTGAATTTCTTAAATGGATTGCCGTACTTTGAATTTGGCGCAGTTATTTTGAAATTTTAGAGATTTTAATACCAATTAAACTGCAAAACAATTCAGCTAATAACAGTAATAGAGCTTCGCTCTGTATTGTTGGCAAAGACACTTTTGATTTAAAAAACGGAAATATGGTTTCGGTTTCGATCAAAGTTAATAAATCAATTTCATCAATAGTGATTATTGATTGATTGAATGATTGATTGATTAGTTTATTGGTTGGTTGGTTGGTTGGTTGGTGGGCGAGCGAGCGAGCGAGCGAGTGAGTGAGTGAGCGAGTGAGTGAGTGAGTGAGTGAGTTTGATGTATATAGATGATATCATATACCAAATATCAAAACTCTGGGCTTTGTACTTTCAGAGATTTTTTTAAAATCTTTTTATTATATGCACACAATGAAATCAATGACACTCGGGCGGGGCCTATATTGACCCAATGGCTATAATTTGAAAAATCAACTCGTCTCATACTTTTGGTCAACTCGTCCCCAATATGGTCAACTCGTCCCCTTCTTTTGGTCAACTGGTCACTATTGAATTATAAATCAATGTCTTAAGATAGTTATATTATGTAAGACAAAGAGTTGACTCAAAATCGCTAGAAAGGCGGTATAACTGAGCGAAAATAAATTCTACGGTAACTTATCCTTTAACAGAAATGCACCCCAATTTATAGATTGAACAAATATTCCAAATCTGGAGTGATTGACTTTGACAGTCTTCGATTATTTTAGACTGGACGCGCTTATTTGTAAATTGAAAAGCGTTGCAACGCTTTTCCCACGAAATTGGTTAAAACATATATTTCAAACAAATTGCCAAACATCCCACTCCACACTCCCAAGAGACCATTTTACTGTAGTATAAATCATTGCTTCCGGGTAAAAATTTATTTTCTCGGTTCATCTGCGTAAGACACAAAGAAAAAAAAAACGTTTTCTAGGGAAATATAGTGCCTTTCGAGATCTGCAAATATATAAATAAAAGAATAGTTTAAATACCATATACTATATTGTTGTTTTATAGATTTCCGTAAAGCCTTTGATTCTGTTGATAGAATTGCCTTATGGCAAAAACTGCTCAAGAATAATATAAGTGGTAATTTTTTGAAAATTTTGCATAATATGTATGATAAAACAAAGTCGTGTGTAAAAGCTGGTAATCAGATTTCATTTATTTTGCAAGTAATGCTGGCGTAAGACAAGGTGAAAATATTTCACCCGTGTTGTCTTCGTTTAATATTTCTAAATGATCTTGAACAATAAATTTCTGAAAAATAGGCATATATATTATATTAACTTGCTGATGATGTGAAAAGCTTATTTACCCATTACTGCATGAGCATTTTGTGAAAAATGGCTGTTTTCATTGAAAAGTATCCCGTTTCAAATTCAAATTGCTATAAAACTATAAAAACTGATTCAATACTAATCAAACTTGGCACAAATGTTAACTGGACCATTGACTTTGTAACAACGTGCTCAGTCTTAAATTTCCTGTTACCATGGCAACGAGAGGACATCTCAAAATTGCCGAAAGTCACTATTTTGAGTTGACTTTTTCCATCAAAATTGATTTTAAAGTGCTGCAACTTCTCAATGGATTGAGATAGAGTCAAGGGCTTTTCAGCGTTGGGTACACGTTACCTTATGGTCGATCTGGGGTCATGTTTAGCCTCTCACAAGTCCAAAAATGTTTTGGCGATGAGGGGGACTTCCACCTTCAAACCCCCCAAACAGAAGGGGACACATCTCCCTTCTGGCAACCCCCTGATGTATCTTTTGGATAGGGGGCGCGCCGATAGAGCGGTCAGTTTTTAAAACGACATTTCACCAAACAGAAACAAGTGTTGGGGACCTGAATAAGGCATTATTTTCACCATTTGAGACAACAACAAAGGAGGTGGGGGTGAAAAGGTGTGTATATCAAGTAATGGGTTAAGTAATAAGGATTGTTTTAGACTCTTTCTGCTCCTTTGTGCTGATGATACTGTAATTTTAGCAGATAATGCAGATGAGCTTCAGACTGCATTAAATGCAATGCTAGAATATTGAAATGTTTGGAATTTAAAAGTGAACTCTGCAAAATCAAAGGTTGTAATATTTTCTACGGACAGGAATCGTATGAAAGATGCACCTCAATTTTCTTTTGATAATGAGAACATGATTTTTCTTATCTATTTATCCAATTTATGGAAAATTACTTCCTAATTAATTCTTCCGCCTTGTTAAAATTTAGATGTATGCACTATAAGATGTCAATTGAAGAAAGGTAGATTCCTAAATATAGAAGAATATGTACTTTATGTGAGTCAAACCAACTGGGTGATGAATTTCACTACCTCCTTTATTGTTCACATTTTGTTAAAAGTAGACGTAACTTTATTAAACCGTATTATAATAGGTATCCTAATGCATTGAAATTTGAAGGTCTTATGGATAGTAAAAAAGTCACATCTAAAAAACCTTGCTTTGCTTTGTAAAATAATTACAACATGCAAATAATAAGTATAACGTACGTTACATATCATTTGTCTCCTAGAAAGTTTGTTATTGAAGCATAAATTCCGGTTATTATTGAGAATCTAGTCATATCTTTTTTTATTTTATGGTACAATATAATTGTCACTCATTCTCCTTTTCAATGTATATTTTATGTATATTTTTCTCTGTTACGTTCCGGTTGTTACATGTTCACAATTTTGTATTTTATGTCACATGTTCTTATGAACCATGACAGTATTGAATAAAATTTGAAAATCTGAAATCTATTATATAGGTATCCTAATTCATTGAAATTTGAAGCTCTTATGAATAGTAATTAAACATTAAAAAAAAACTTGCTTTATTTTGCAAGGAAATAATTACAACATGCAAATAATAAGTGTAATGTTGTATCATTAGTCTCCTTGAAATTTTGTTATTGGAGCATAAATATTTTCTGTGTTCCGGTTGTTACATGTTCAAAATTTTTATTTTATGTCAGATGTTCGTATGACCATGACAGTATTGAATAAAATCTTGAAAATCAATCTTGATTTATTTTTACAACTTTGGGTTAAATAAGTCCATAATACTCTTCAAAATGGTAGGTGTTTTCATTTCGTTTTTACAACTGAAATATATTTATTTTAAGACATGAATGATTGTCTTTAGGAGTACATTAGACGTAGAAGTTGATATGAAGTGTCAACTGAATAGATAAATACTGCTTCACGTTTTTTTCTTTAATAAAATCGGATAATGCAACGAAGTTATACATCTCTTTCGTACTAATAATTTTCGTACCATTGTTGATGAGTATCATTTTTTTTTATTATCTTTTGTCTGACTGATTAAGTGTAATTTTGTATTATAAATTAATATGAAGTTGAATTTATTCCTTTTTGTTTAAATCATTTTAGTATGAAATCAAGCTTAGGTATTTGTAACAGTCCTTTTAAGCTTTTTTTTCAATATTTTGGGAATGCCACCAACACAATAAACTTGAAATGTCACTAGAAGTCCAACGTGGGACTTTTAGAGTAACTGATGGAGACTGCTAGAGATACACCAAATAAATTTATAGCTTCCAGGGCTCTCAATTGACACGGGGATCCGGGTTTTGACTTGTGAAAATCGGGAAATGCACAAATTTGACACGTGATAAAATCTGCTCAAGAGTCAATTTGCCACATGGGATTTTCAGCTATGCAATAATAATAACCTTAAATCCACCCCTAATTACCTATCAAATCCTACATATGTTCAAATCACACTCATTAAAAATGTCAACAGGCAGTATAAGCCGTGTATAAAATGCTTTACACACGGCAATTGTTTAAAGCCTGTGCACTGAAGCGCGACAATTCAGTGGCTGCAATTTGACAGCGCTAAAAATAGCTCTACACAACATACTTGAGGTGTCAATTATTGATTGCTTTTAAAGGTTTATAATACATCTTTGATTTACTTGGAGTACCTGTGCATGTGTTATTTCTTTTTCCATTAAATATTCCTGGTACATTTTGGTATTTAAAATTAATATGATATAGCATACCAGTTAAGATACTTTTTTATATTTTATAAATTTAATCAGAAAAGCTGCTGCTTATTGTATTCTTTCACAGCAATTCATTTTTTTGTTTTATTTGTTTGTTTTATTTTGGTGGAGGGGGGGGGGGTATAGACATTTATTATTAGGCATTTTTTTCTGTCAATTTAGTCTTTGGAATCTCCAAGAATGACCTCCAATACAGCCATTTTTGTAACATAAAAATGATTCATGTAGTCAAATGACACTAGAAAAAAATGATTTGACTCATGAAAATTTTGGCCAAAGAGTCTTTGACTCGTGAAATTCTGACCCTACTGAGAGCCCTGGCTTCTTTTGATGGCCTTTTTATTAACAGATTAATATATATAATGATATTTTACGTACATATGTAGATTCTGTATTATAAGTGGTCTAGTTTCAAGGGATTCCCCTAATACGTTAATTATAATAATTTACAATTTCTGCAGACTTATGATCTGGAATTTTATGCTATGGCATTGGGAATGTCCCTTTGGTACCTCAATAATTATCACAAGTAAAAAACACTCTGAAATATTATATAATGATAAATCAGTGTTTTATAAAGCTGATTTGTGTTAGAAATTCTGCCTATTACCAATCTATCTACCTATTCATCCATATATCAATCTACGATGTTCATGCATCTTCCTTTATTGTCAAACCCCTGTAAGAAGATATAGGGTAGAATAGATTATGCAAGTCATGTTACAAAATTAATAAAAGAATAGAAAACATATACAAAATATTATACATTTAAAATAAACAGTGGGAAATGTATAGGGTTTGCTAAAAGTAAAAACTATCTTGCAGTCTGTTATAATGCGACACATGTATGTTGATATGGCTAACAGTCATATTGAACTGGGTTTGTGTGGGCTATGAAACAGTATAATGGATAGGCTGTACCAGTGGAAGAATATTCTTGGAAAGAATGAGAATTTGTAGTTGTCTGTCTTGGCAAGACTTAACTTATAGCTCATCATCCAGGAATTTCAGAAGCCTCTCCCTAATGAGGTTTATACATGTAACCTTCTTTGTGATTGATGATTTTTCACATCATGTACACCTTACAATCAGCTAAACAAAGATGAAGTAGGCTCCATTTAAGAGACTTTAGTTTACTGGATGGGCATCCAAAGTCAGATTTGACCAAATGCAAAGATATTATTTGGACAGATTCTATGATATTATGATCAATTAAGGTTTGACTATAGGGGACCAGACATTAGGTGCATATTCCAGTTGTGGTCAAACAAGGGTCTTATAATCTCTAATATGCCATGCTGAGTTAAATTTTATATCATGGCATAAGAAACCAAGGGTTTTGTTTGCCTTTTGGTTGAAGTTCCAAAGGTGAACTGTTTATGTGCTGCTTCCATACAATGATACAGCAGTCATTTGATTTATTTCAATATACATATTTGGCCGATGTAATTGTATCTTAAGAAGTTCCATGAAGGGTTTAATTTATTGGTATTGGATGTTTCTTCCTTTTGACATGGATTTTTTTTTACATTTTGATGGATTGAACTCCATGTACCATTGTAACTCTCACTTTTCTAGGGTATTAAAGTCTTTTTGAAGGGTTTCTGATTGCTGACCTGATGTTAAGATTATAAGGTATCTATAGAGCAACCATTCAGAAACAAGTATACATTTGATTTATTGTTGTTTTTTTTTCCAGAGGTTTCGTTTCTGTGGTGACTTGGATTGCCCGGACTGGGTCCTGGCGGAAATTAGTATACTCTCAAAAATTGTAAGTTAAAATTGATTTAATTGGAAATGAAATGCAGCATGTATAAATTAAGAATCTATGTTCCCTTTTTCTTTGAAAAATTCAGCTATTGTCGGCGTTTAAGAGACATTTTAATAGAAGCTTTAACAGCAATTATAAACTTGGTTTAAATAATGTATATTGTCGTGAAAGGACTCAATTTTAAAAGGGCAGATATTCCTAAAATTATTTTATGCAAAGTTATGACCCTTTTTCAACATATATTTTTTGCCCAGGTTAACGTTTTCTCTGAAACTCAGAAAAAGTAATTCATCTCAAACTTAGTATATATGTATTATTGCAGGGCTCACACTGGCTCAAATAAAATAATAGCCAATAATTTTAACTTAAAAAAATAATAGCCAAAAGTTCAGCGGACTATTCACGAATTAGCGATTAAACAACATAAGCAGTTGATTAAATAAACATTACATTTTTATAAGGATTCTCAAATAAACTGATACATTTGTGTATATTGATAACTACCTTTTTTTAAATAGAACCACAACTTTAATTGTTATTATAGAACAGAATAAAAACGTTATAATTAGTATAATTACTGTATAACAATAATATTAAAGATTCATTATAACTTTACATAATGCTGTTATCAGACAACTTTTTTTGTTTGTTCTAATCAAATTTTGTCAGCTATAACCACTGTCAATTTCCACATTTCACACAGAACTGGAGTAGATCTAGGTCATATTAGCCTATAGAAATAACACAAGTTTGCAAACTCATTCACAGAGTGCAACCTTTTTTCTGAATAATTTACTGAAAAATATCATCATCACCAATGTAATACAAATTTTCTGCCATAGTAGTAAAGATTTTTAAACAGAACATAGCTTATTTCACCTTTAAGGTGATTTTGCTTTGTCAGCCATGTTTGTTTTCAATATGTGGGTCCAAAGTGAAAGTAGGCCAAAATTCATATAACAACAAAGCTCACATTGTTATATGATGAGCCATTTGCAAGTACACTTCCAGTTTCTATGTTTTAAAGGACTATTTTAAACAAAATAAAAATGATAACAATAAGAAAAATTACCTTCAATGTGCTACATTTCTGAAGACCAAAAACATTCTGTTGCAAAGTTTTATGCACATTTCATGAATGGCAAAATCCTTTTTAAAGTCTGTTTTTAGTGCCTACAAAAGCCACTTTTTGCAGAAAATACAAAAAACTTTAAAAAATAAACCTTAGGAAAGTAGTTTTATCTGACCTTGAAAAAACATGGCTACCATGACATGTGTAAAAAAGTAGTACCATGAAAATGAACATCATTTATCTATCTCTTGTGTACATGACAAACAGACACACTTCACTGTTACACATAAAAAAGGTTAGATTTTAAAGTTTGATTGTGTTTTCATTTTAATTGTAGTTCATAAGGCCTATAAATGATGATTGTTTTCTTGCACTACTTTTTTACAAAAAATAAATGGAGGCCATGTGCTTTAGAAGGACATGAGATATGGATTTATTTGGAGTTTAAGTTTTGAAAGATTTTTGTATTTGCTGCAAAAAATAGCTTTTGTAGGCACTAAAACAGACTTAAAAAAGGATTTTGCCATTCATGAATATGCATAAAACTTTGCAACAGAATGTTTTTGGTCTTCAGAAATGTAGCACATTCAAGGTAAATATTCTTATTGTTATCATTTTTATTTTTGTTTATAACTGTCCTTAAAATATTAACATGGAATTGTACTTTCAAATGGTTTAATCATTTTACAATAAGAGCTTAGTTGTTATATGAATTTTGGCCTACTTTCACTTTGGACAGACTTTTAAATTAGTGAAAACAAACATGGCTGACAAAGCGGAATCACCTTAAATAAATATCAAAATTATCGGTGTCGCGAAAATATGTGACAATCGGATTTTTCCTGTTTTCTGAAGAAATATTCACAATTTTGGTTGTTGTGCAAATAGTTGTTTGGAATTTTATACTTTTTAAATATTTTACCATTGTTTTCCACTGGCGTTTTAGTCAAGTAGCTTAAAACAAAAAAAATCAAAATTTGCAATTACTGGAATTCACGGTAAATTTTGGGTAAGTCTATATATAGTTTATCAATTTTAAAACGATTTTTGTGGCTAATTGACGGATATTTGATGGCTATTATAAATGCTGGACAATATCTTTAAAGTACTTATACAATTATACATGTATTTTATCACCTCGGGCAATATAGTTAGCAGCACGTGACCGGTAAAAAGTTGACACTCAATTAAATGCACCCCGCTGGTGTTAATTGGGTCTACTGCATTCATTATCGTTTTTTACACCTTATATAAACACTGTTGGAAGTAAAAAATAATCGCCAGATTTTGTAGCGAAAATGCAAAAATAATCGCCAATCTTATAAAATAATCGCAAATGGCGACTTTGGCGACCGACAGCGTGAGCCCTGTTATTGTAAACTATCAAACCATTTTGGAAGAGCAGAATCAGATAATCCTAAACTTCGTGTTTGCAAAATAATGCCCCTTGTTTACTCATTTTTTTCCTGCAAGTGACAATGCCTTAAAAAATGTCAAAGCTTATATCACTTTAAATTTATTTTCCTCTTTTTATTAGAATATTTGCCTTTTTCTCAATAACTGTTACAATATCAACTTGAAATATTTGTTTACTTTCAAGGGCAGTTAAATCTGCTAAGCACTTTTGCAGAATTTTGCCCCTTCTTTTTATTGCTTTTAAATAATTATCAAGCTCTAAGAAGAGTTAAGCCTTCTGTCTGCTCACAGATCATGTTAATAAATATGTCAGTGTAGGGACAGTAGTAGAGCTGTAAGCCTAAAAAATTATCACTAATGGAAGGTATTGTACAACCTCTCCTAAGCAACCACCTTTGTGGGACAAATATTTTGGTTGTTGCTGACAGGTGTTTCTCTAGAGAAGTTAATTTGTTTGCGAAGTGTTACCATGGTATTGTGTGTTGTTGAGAGGGCGGCTCTTTGGAGGTTGTTTTGTAATGAGTGTTGCCAGTCAAAACTAGTGAAGTACATGTATGTAGTGCCAAGAACAAAATAGTAACATTTGAAAATATTCCACTTGAAAATATTCTGATGTTTGTTATTTCAAGACTACAGTTGTGTATTTTGATAGAATGAAACTTAACCTAGCAGGAATCTTACATAGATCAAAAATAATTTATGTAGATAGGAAAATGTAAAGTGTGTAGATAGTAAAATGTTTTGCAAAACAACAAAAGTAGTTATTTTTCTAGTAAGATAAAATGAGCTTATCAGGTCAAATATTCAAAGTGAAAGTCATGTCCAAATATATTAATTGTAAATGCCTGTAAATAATAAACTATGACTTATTATATGTATGAAATATTGAAAACATATTTATTATTAGCTTATTGTTTATTGTATATTATTTAGACATCAGTTAAGATGAAGCTGTTATGTGTACAGGTGATTAAAGACATGCTAGGTCAGGGGATTGATGTAAGTATAGAGCTTATTGTTTTTATACCACCTCTATAAACAATAAGATTCTCATGAGAATAAATTTTTCAACAGTGTTTTTAATATATGAACTATTATTATCTTCTCATCAGGAAGAAATTTGTTTGCTTGTGGTACGAGTACCACACTACCAGTAAAGCTTAAAACAATGTACATTCTAAGAATTTGAATAAGAAAATTTGAATGAATGCTATACACCAAAGTTTATGCATGATTGCACTAAATCTTATGTTAATGAAAAAGGTGGGTCACACCGTTTACCTTTTTAAAAATAATTTAAAAAATTTAAATATGTACACATTTATCTGAAGTGTAAGTCAAGTTCTTATGAATCAATGCTTTGTTGCAATGTAGTTGTTTGTTACTTAAAGAAAACACAAATTTTACAGTAAAGTTTTTGATACAGATCTTGATTTAATGTCTGTATTTTTACAGTATGATAAAGTGTATAAAATCACATCAGATGCTAAATTTGGTAAGTAGCCTTTGTTGTTTTTAGAAAATTGTTGTCTTTGTAGAAAGTGATTATTTCTTTCTCACAATCATATATTACTTTTTAGCTCACCTGTCACAAAGTGACAGGGTGAGCTTTTGTGATTGCTTTTCGTCCGGCGTCCGTCGGTAAACTTTTACTTTAAATGACATCTCCTCATAAACCACAAAGCCAATTTCATCCAAACTTCACAGGAATGTTCCTTTGGTGGTCACCTTTAAAAATTGTTCAAAGAATTTAATTCCATTCAGAACTCTAGTTGCCATGGCAACCGAAAGAAAAAAACTTTAAATATCTTCTTTTAAAAAACCGTAAGAGCTAGAGCTTAGATATTTGGCATGAAACATCTTCTAGTGAGTGTCTACCAAGTTTGTTCAAATAAAAGCCCTGGGGTCAAAATTGGCCCCGCCCCAGGGGGTCATTGATTTTCCCTATATGCATATAGTAAAAACTTAAAAAATCTTCTTTTAAAAAACCGTAAGAGCTAGAGCTTAGATATTTGGCATGAAACATCTTCTAGTAAGTGTCTACCAAGTTTGTTCAAATAAAAGCCCTGGGGTCAAAATTGGCCCCGCCCCAGGGGGTCATTGATTTTCCCTATATGCATATAGTAAAAACTTAAAATATCTTCTTTTAAAGAACCCAAAGAGCTAGAGCTAAGATATTTAGCATGAAACATCTTCTAATGAGTGTCTACCAAGTTTGTTCAAATAAAAGCCCTTGGGTCAAAATTAACCCCGCCCCAGGGGGTCATTGATTTTCCATATATGCATATAGTAAAAACTTAAAAAATGTTCTTTTAAAGAATCCAAAGAGCTAGAACTAAGATATTTAGCATGAAACATCTTCTAATGAGTGTCTATCAAGTTTGTTCAAATAAAAGCCCTTAGGTCAAAATTGGCCCCGCCCCAGGGGGTCATTGATTTTCCCTATATGCATATAGTAAAAACTAAAAAAAATCTTCTTTTAAAGAACTCAAAGAGCTAGAGCTAAGATATTTAGTATGAAACATCTTCTAATGAGTGTCTACCAAGTTTGTTCAAATAAAAGCCCTGGGGTCAAAACTGGTCTGGCCCCAGGGGTGTCATTGTTTTTAACTATATGTGTATAGTATAAACCTTAGGGGGGCTGTTGTTTGATGGACTGGGGGGGGGGGCTTTTGTCCTACCTGTATTTTTGATGGGGGCTTTTGTCCTATGTGTAAATTTAGTTGGGGGGGGGGGCTTTTTGTTCACCTTGTCATTTTTAAATGGGGGGGGGGGGGGAGCTTTTGTCCAGGAAGGGCTTTTGTCCTACACTCCTTACATATACATGTATATATGTATACATAGGGATGGTAGTTGTGTAAATATGTTTCATAATAGTTTATTGGCAGTCATCTTCATTGCATCAAAATGGTGTCCAAAAAATCAAAGGTTTGACTTCTTTATAGTAAAATGTACTGTACTAGAATAATTCAGTCTTGACCACATATAAATTTCGTGTTTATTGAATGCTGACAAGTCTACAATGTTGGTGGGACATTAAGCTAGGCTTATACAGTCCATATCCACTGGTATATCTGTTGACAATAAGAAATGCACTAAACTCGAGCAACTAATAAAGTTTAACAAATCAATACAATGTTTATATTGTAGAGGAGGGGGATGTTAAAGCAAGTATTGCAGCATTACATTTCATCATTGCCAGTGCTGCCAAGTACAATGTGGATGGAGAGTCTCTGTCTAATGAACTTCAACAGCTTGGTTTACCTAAAGGTAATATATCTGTCTAATGAACTTCAACAGCTTGGTTTACCTAAAGGTAATATATCTGTCTAATGCTAGGTTTACCTAAAGGTAATATATCTGTCTAATGCTAGGTTTACCTAAAGGTAATATATCTGTCTAATGCTAGGTTTACCTAAAGGTAATATATCTGTCTAAAACTAGGTTTACCTGAAGGTAATATATCTGTCTAATGTTATGTTTACCTAAGGGTAATATATCTATCTAATGCTTGGTTTACCTAAAGGTAGTATATCTATCTAATGTTAGGTTTACCTAAAGGTAATATATCTGTTTAATGTTAGGTTTACCTAAAGGTGATATATCTGTCTAATGCTAGGTTTACCTAAAGGTAATATATCTGTCTAATGTTACGTTTACCTAAAGGTATTATATCTGTCTAATGCTAGGTTTACCTAAAGGTAATATATCTGTCTAATGCTAGGTTTACCTAAAGGTAATATATCTGTTTAAAGTTATGTGTACCTAAAGGTAATATTACTGTCTAATGCTAGGTTTACCTAAAGGTAATATATCTGTCTAAAGTTAGGTGTACCTAAAGGTAATATATCTGTCTAATGCTAGGTTTACCTAAAGGTAATATATCTGTCTAATGTTAGGTTTACCTAAAGGTAATATATCTGTCTAATGCTAGGTTTACCTAAAGGTAATATATCTGTCTAAAGTTAGGCATACCTAAAGGTAATATATCTGTCAAATGCTAAGTTTACCTAAAGGTAATATATCTGTCTAATGCTAGGTTTACCTAAAGGTAGTATATCTGTCTTATGCTAGGTTTACCTAAAGAAAATATGTCAGCCTGATTTAAGCTTTACCTAAAGGTAATAATTATCTTTGTCTTATGAACTTCAAAAGCTTTGTTAACTAAAAGGTAATGAATATGGCTCATGATCATGTACAAAAATATTGAAAATGCTTCAGAGTTTGCAGTAGTATAAATGGGAATGTTGTATGTACAGAGCTGTATGTGACATTGTGATTAGGGTTTGAAACATTTGTTCCTTCATAGGATGTTTGTGAGTCTTAGAGACTTACAATACATTTACATGAGGAAGATGTTCTGCAGGCTTACAGAAGATCGTTGGTTTTACCCAGATACCCACTTATGCAGATGGGTTCTTTATTCACCCTTTAAAGTTTGGAAATGATATTGTAAGCCCAGCTGGAAAAATATTTTTTTTGTCATTTCCCCCTGCAACAAAATTTCATGTGTTATTTGTTACAGACAAAACTTCTTATGTTGTTTATTGGGACAAATTTCCAGTGTTATTTGTTAGATTCTTTCTAATTTTTTAGAGCATACAACATCATTGGGAAAGTCATATGGAGACAATCTTATCAAACTTCAGGAACAATTTAGAAAAGACAGTTTAAGATGTAAGTAAAAGGTATTTATGTTAACTAGTCAAGTTGTTAACTTTACAGATATGATAATGATATACTAGCAAATAGTTTACAATACAGATTATTACCACAAGTGAAACATTACATTAATAAATTAAAGGGACTCCACAGAGGTTATTTTACCTGAAATGACCAGAAATATTTTTTTTGTATTAAGTTCCATTTGATGTAAGACTCATGAACCTAATTACAAGACATTGACACTAATTGAAATATGAAGATGTGAAATTGTTGATTTTTTTTCTGCCTTATGATTTTCATGCTTATGTTTAGATAAAATAAAGGTTACACATGGTTCTAAGTAAGTTTCTGAATTGTTGATAATTTGTCACAGTGCTAGAATATTGTAACTGTTTATTCATTAGCAATCAGTTTTCAGAAATGAATTAAAAAGAACATTATGTTTACAGTATCCCAATTAGAGGGTGTTGAGTGGAGGGTTGACTACATTATAAGCTCAAGTCACTTAAAGGTATCTCTGTTTCTAATTGTGTTTATTTATATATAAAATGATGGTTAATTATTACTTGATTCTTCCGTGTGTGTAAGATTTTTAGCTTGACTAATTTAAGAATAGGAAATCTTTTGTACACACCCTGTGGTTAAGTGTTTGCGTGCAAGTTCTTTTCGAAGAGAATTAGTTGAAACTTCACACACAGGGCACAGGTGCCGTAACTCTGAGTTATGCTCCTTTTCGTCCTGTCAAGCTCTGAGAAAAGTCTAGTGTACTGTCTAGGAACCAAATATTGGGTCTCTGAAATGTCACTATGATAAATGTTTATACAACAGCTGATAGCCTCGAATATTAATAACAAATCTTTTAACAAAAAATTATGCATTATTTTTCATTCTAAGGGGCTTCTCATTATTTCCCAATTAAATATACAGGGCAGTCAAGTGCATACATGGTATATGCACATCATATAAAGCAGAGATCTGCCGAGGACACGATTTTGCGCCATTGGCGCTTAAAAAATGAGAATGGCGCAGGAAAATCGGCAGCAAAGGGCCATGGGCGCATCTAAAATCTGTGCCAGACTTATAAGAGAACAAAACTGTTTGTTGGGTCATTTAGTCATCCAGTCAAAACTGGTACTAACAGCAACATGTTACCCATTCCCCTGTAATTACGCATATTCTTGAGTTTATCCATTCCCCTATAGCTTTTGTCCATGTTATCTACTTACTGCATTTCTATTTATAATCCCTTTCCCACACATAATTATACTCATTTCTACTACGTAAATTTAATCCAATAAAACAAACAAACAAATTATACAACTACTTAATATTTAAAATGATTATCGATAACTGAAAAAAGAAGTGTTATTTTAAGAAATAAGTTACAGTGTAAAACTTGATCACCCCAAAGGTCACTCAAGTTCATGCAAGCTTTGGCTGATTAAGTGTAAAAAATGATGTCTATTACGTCATCAGAATATTTGACAGGGTGATTAACCAATCAGGGAAACATTGTGCATGATTTTTTTCATGATCAAAAGGTCTGTCGGCAAGTGTCTTTGATGTATGCTGTCTACACAGAGGCATACTAGGGGCAATAAAATTAGTCAATATACAGTGGTTAGGGACATTTGGTGCAAAGTAGGAACAATTAAATGGATAATGCACATTATTAGACATTAGAAGTAAGAACCAGCAATTATGTAAATAAATTTGCATATCAAATTTTTGAGCAGCCATTTGAAAAAATATTTTACCTGCAATTAATATTAGTTACAAAGTTACCATGTAGACATAATTTTTTAATTATTCATAAGTGAACCACTTGTCATAAAATATGATGTAAGTTTTATTACCAGGGAAATTCAATTATCTACAAACTTTTTAACAATTATTTAGGTCAATGTTTACTTATTTTCCCAAGGCCAATACTTAGGTAAAAATGGCCCATCATTTTCAGACCAAGTGGGCCCAGGGCCCAGTACTTTCAAATTCTTGGCAGATCTCTGTATAAAGGAATGCTTACACATCTGATGATGTCAGATGACAATAAACCAAATAACTTCAGGAAAATTACTTCTTAGCTTAATGTCCTTCAACTTATCAAGGCCCATAACTCTGGCGTAGATTTTGAATGATATGACCTTTTTTGAATGTACATAATTTCTTAATCACTATCCAAGAACTATTTGAAAGAGATCTTTTAATCTGTTTATTCTAACAATATTGAGATTCATTTTTTCAAGCTAAGATAATTGTCCAGTGACTATTAGATTTTAGCTTATTACAACATAATTTATACAAAACTATTCCTTTTAATAGATGTTGTTCATAATGTTAATCATTAACATTCACATTAACTTAATGTGATAAATTAAGTTTTGTAGCAATAGATGAAGGTATTTCTTCATAAGTTTCAATCAGGTGAGGAATAAACGAACCAGCTTATCCCTATAATGTTACTCTTGCATATCTTTAGAATTTTGTATAGAAAAAACATACAAAGTGTTTTTGCTTTTTCTGGTGCAGTCTTTGGTATTCATTACTAATTGTTTTACTCTATTAATCTAGGATATAAATGAACCATGTGTTCAGTTAAAGATGAACATAAAACCAGCTGAGGGAGGTGAAGTAGAACCAGTCTCCTTCACTGCATCTTCAGATAAATTCAGAGTGTTCTTGAATGGTAAATTGCCTTTTATATATTATCCTATAAATAGATTGATTTCTGTATTGAATATATATACATGACATTTAAAACAACATATACATTTAATACCTGATTCTAATAGAATACTATACCTGACAGATATAAAGTTGTATTGCTTTTCTGTCAGCTTCTTTATCATGTGAGTTTTATTTATAAAAGTAAGTTATCTTTGAATCATAAGTATTTTGAATTTACTACTTTTACTAATTATTTGCATCCTTAACTTATGTCAGGTAGATATATGAGAAAGTGTAACTATGTCAAGAGTCTGTGGTGCTGATTTGACTAATGTAAAAGGCACTTTGAATTAGTAAATGAATGTCAGGAAGCTGTATAGAGCAGTTTATCAATGTTAGTAGACTCAAGGGTTTTGTTTTCTAATGTCCTGAGACTCTATTGTCAGTTTTCTGAGTCAGGAAGTTCTAGTACAAAGTTCCAAATATTAAGATGCTAAAATGCTGAATTTTCTAGTGTCAGACGGCTCTAGTGTTAAGTTAATAATGTCAGAATGCTCTAGTGTCAAGTTTATTAATGTCAGAAGGCACTAACGTTGAGTTTAATAATGTCAGAAGGCTCTAGTGATGAGTTTAATAATGTCAGAAGGCACTAGTGTTGAGTTTAATAATGTCAGAAGGCTCTAGTGTTGAGTTTATTAATGTCAGAATGCTTTTGTGTTGAGTTTATTAATGTCAGAAGGCTCTAATGTTGAGTTTATTAATATCATAATTCTTTTGTGTTGAGTTTATTAATGTTAGAATGCTCTAGTGTTGAGTTTATTAATGTCAGAATGCTCTAGTGTTGAGTTTATTAATGTCAGAAGGCTCTAGTGTTGAGTTTATCAATGTCAGAAGGCTCTAGTGTTGAGTTTATTAATGTCAGAAGGCTCTAGTGTTGAGTTTATTAATGTCAGAAGGCTCTAGTGTTGAGTTTATTAATGTCAGAAGGCTCTAGTGTTGAGTTTATTAATGTCAGAGTGCTCTAGTGTTGAGTTTATTAATGTCAGAAGGCTTTAGTGTTGGGTTTATTAATGTCAGAAGGCTCTAATGTTGAGTTTATTAATATCATAATGCTTTTGTGTTGAGTTTATTAATGCCAGAAGGCTCTAGTATTGAGTTTATTAATGTCAGGAGACTCTAGTGTTGAGTTTATTAATGTCAGAATGCTTTTTTGTTGAGTTTATTAATGTCAGAAGGCTCTAATGTTGAGTTTATTAATATCATAATGCTTTTGTGTTGAGTTTATTAATGTAAGAATGCTCAAGTGTTGAGTTTATTAATGTTAGAATGCTCATGTGTTGAGTTTATTAATGTTAGAATGCTCAAGTGTTGAGTTTATCAATGTCAGAAGGCTCTAGTGTTGAGTTTATCAATGTCAGAAGGCTCTAGTATTGAGTTTATTAATGTCAGGAGACTCTAGTGTTGAGTTTATTAATGTCAGAATGCTCTAGTGTTGAGTTTATTAATGTCAGAAGGCTTTAGTGTTGGGTTTATTAATGTCAGAAGGCTCTAATGTTGAGTTTATTAATATCATAATGCTTTTGTGTTGAGTTTATTAATGTCAGAAGGCTCTAGTATTGAGTTTATTAATGTCAGGAGACTCTAGTGTTGAGTTTATTAATGTCAGAATGCTTTTGTGTTGAGTTTATTAATGTCAGAAGGCTCTAATGTTGAGTTTATTGATATCATAATGCTTTTGTGTTGAGTTTATTAATGTAAGAATGCTCAAGTGTTGAGTTTATTAATGTAAGAATGCTCAAGTGTTGAGTTTATTAATGTTAGAATGCTCAAGTGTTGAGTTTATCAATGTCAGAAGGCTCTTGTGTTGAGTTTATCAATGTCAGAAGGCTCTTGTGTTGAGTTTATCAATGTCAGAAGGCTCTAGTATTGAGTTTATTAATGTCAGGAGACTCTAGTGTTGAGTTTATTAATGTCAGAATGCTTTTGTGTTGAGTTTATTAATGTCAGAAGGCTCTAATGTTGAGTTTATTAATATCATAATGCTTTTGTGTTGAGTTTATTAATGTTAGAATGCTCAAGTGTTGAGTTTATTAATGTTAGAATGCTCAAGTGTTGAGTTTATCAATGTCAGAAGGCTCTAGTGTTGAGTTTATCAATGTCAGAAGGCTTTAGTGTTGGGTTTATTAATGTCAGAAGACTCTAATGTTGAGTTTATTAATATCATAATGCTTTTGTGTTGAGTTTATTAATGTCAGAAGGCTCTAGTATTGAGTTTATTAATGTCAGGAGACTCTAGTGTTGAGTTTATTAATGTCAGAATGCTTTTGTGTTGAGTTTATTAATGTCAGAAGGCTCTAATGTTGAGTTTATTAATATCATAATGCTTTTGTGTTGAGTTTATTAATGTAAGAATGCTCAAGTGTTGAGTTTATTAATGTAAGAATGCTCAAGTGTTGAGTTTATTAATGTTAGAATGCTCAAGTGTTGAGTTTATCAATGTCAGAAGGCTCTTGTGTTGAGTTTATCAATGTCAGAAGGCTCTTGTGTTGAGTTTATCAATGTCAGAATGCTCTAGTGTTGAGTTTATTAATGTCAGAAGGCTTTAGTGTTGGGTTTATCAATGTCAGAAGACTCTAGTATTGAGTTTATTAATGTCAGGTGGCTCCAGTGTTGAGTTAATTAATGTCAGAATGCTCTAGTGTTTAGTTTATTAATGTCAGAAGGCTTTAGTGTTGGGTTAATCAATGTCAGAAGGCTCTAGTGTTGAGTTTATTAATGTCAGAAGGCTTTAGCATTGAGCTTATAAATGTCAGAAGGCTATAGTGTTGAGTTAATGAATGCTAGAAGTCTTTAGTGTTGAGTTTATTTATCTAAGAAGCCTCTAGTATTCAGTGAAAAGATGACACAAGGCTTTGACTGAGTGTACTTATGTTAGGTTACTGATAGTTAAATATACTATTGTCAGGGGGTCCTTTATAAATGACAGAATGTTCGATTGCTGAGTGTTTATGACTGAAGGGTCTGTTGTTAGTTTAATAATATAAAAGATAACTAATGTAAATAACCTAGAAACACAACAGTGCCTAATGGTTTACAATATAGACATTTGTTATGTATTTTTTTAATTGAATTATTTTCTTTTCAGAATTGAAACAAGCAAGTGCTGTAATGGACAATCTGGCTACTTCCTGAAATCATTTACATTGTGTAACTTCTGTGATTAATGCCAAAAACATATACAAATGTTCATACTGTTCTGTATTGTGCATCATTGAAGATATAAGTGTAAATTATACCTCGAGTGAAATTGTGATATGATTGGGTTTGTTATTTTCTAGATCTACCAGCAAAGTCTTTTTTCTTGTCTTTAATTACAGATAGCTTAGATTTGTCAAGAATTGTTATGTTACTCATATTAGTTATATAACAGATAAGAAAATTGATGCATACTAAGTTCTAAGTTATTAGGTCTCAATGAGCATACCAATATATGTTCTTTGAAGTTATTAAGACTTACAGGCTTTTTAAAATGATGTTTTATAGAAAGGAAATTTTAATTGTTTGACTAAGTTACATTATTGCTTATATCATTCCAACCGTGTATTAATGTATGAAGTATTTACACAAAGTGTCTCAATGTTATAATTGGTATTAAATAGTCTTTGAACTTAAACTGTGTTAACTATGTCAAGCATTGTTTTATACAATCGTGACTTGTTATTGAATTTAATTAAAAGTCTTGTTTTTCACTTTTTCCCATTGTGAGTATTCCCTTAAAGTGTATAAAGCTATACAGTACGCTCACCGCGGGTTTTGCTTTTTCCGCGATACCACCGCGGACGATTTTTTTTTATCGCGGACAAACGCGGGGGTTCGTCCGCGATGAAAGCCTAATTTCCCCCGCGATCCCCGGTGTTCAGTTGTTTCCACCGCGGACAAAATTCAGACGACCGTTCTTCATTCGTCGATAAAATCAGTCACCCGTTTCCCGCGGGGGAACGCCAAGGTCAGTTGGTCAGTATTAACCTCCAAAAATAATAGACGTTTTATTATTTTTTAACGTCATCTTTTTTACACAATGACATGAAAATTGACCACAATCGTCTCCTTAAATGTTATTATACGTTAAATTTTTTGAACGGAATAATTACCGCTGTATCTGTTTTTGTTGTTGTTTTTAATAGTTTTGTTATAAACGTCCACAAAACTATTCGTCCACATACCAATATTTTTACAACTGAAATCGTCTTTTATCACTGTCATCTTTACTTTTTCATTCCTTGTGGTTCTCAAAGTATTATTGCTGTTAAACTATATGGGAGCCATAAATATGATACTTAGTATAAAAAAGGACATTTGTGCTGATTTCTCAATGATGACTGACGCCACAGTACATGTCCTGTAAGAGGTCGATGAGTGTGAATACAAGACAAGACATAAATAAAATACATATACATATCTCAGAAATAAAAGAAAAAGATATTTAAACCATCTATAAGATTTTATTTGTATGCAATTATATTCTTTAAAAACGGGTACACTTGTTTGTTTGTGTTTTTTTTTTACAGTAAAAACCCCGTCGAAAATGGACATGAGAAATATGCATGACACTTGCCAAAAGTTTTTGTATACTGTACATACCGTATATTTGTTTGACACAAATTCACCCATTAAAAAAAATAATAATTAGGCTGCCTTTTACAAATTATAAAATTACATTATTATCCTCGGAATTAATTTCAATGAAAACTTAATATAATAAATACAAGAAAGCAAAGACAATTACGTTCAATTGTATGTACTTAAAACTACATGTTGTCTACAAATACTATTATTCCCATGAACAATAATATCTTAAGATAAAAATAAAATGAAATATTTTTAACTTGAAAATCGGTCGATGGAAGTTCTTAGAAAATAACTGCCATGTGCTTGTTTGCCTTATATACATGTATGTACATGCTGTTCATAATAAAATAACAAAAAGTATAACGTCAAGTTTAACAAAATTCTGCAAAAAAAAATCTATAAAAAAGTAAAAAAGAACAAACAAACAAACTACTAAAACAAAAATGAAAATAAACTTCAACAGTTGATACAAACTTCAAAACATATACATTACGCTCACACCTGTAATTAGATAAATCAAGAATATCATTTAATGTATATTTTGGTGAAATAAACGCTTTCTTTTAATGTTCCAAATAAAATATAATACTTTATGATCAACATGCAAATAAACAGAAACAGTAAAACGCATGAAAGAGACGTCCTGGAATATTGCCTGAATAAATTGTTGAGGGTTACGTTTTCAAAGTTTTTAAATAAGAAACAAAAGCTGGCATATAAATTGTTGTAGTATCTTTTTCATAAATGTCATATGCCGAATTTTTCATTATTTGACTTCAAGTTTCTCACTACCATGAAGTTGCGACGACAATGATTTATCTTGATGTCGAATACATATTATACATTACCCAACACAATAACAAGAAGAAGAACAAGAAATACACTGCATTTGTACATGTACTTTTATTACAACAAAAAAGAAAACAAACAAACAAATTTTACATATAGTTATATGTACAGTACATGTTACAGTACGTACGTATACTGATGTTTAAATACAGTAATTAATTTTTAAAATTTAAGGTTTCCACCGCGTTGACCGGTGTTTGACCGCCGCGTTCCTCCGCAATTTACCGCTGCGTTCCGCGGGGGAAACGGTTTCAGCCGCCGATTTATGTCCGCGGTGGTGAAAATTTTCTGTCCGCGGGGTCACGCGGACAATATCTGAGCAAATTTTCGTCCGCGGTAAACCTCATCCGCGGGGTCACGCGGGTTTTGAAAAAGTCGCGCTGAGCGTACTGTATCTAATAAAAAATTGTGTAAAAATAAATTAAAATAGTAAAATTATGATATTTCCATAATCTTATGTTCAATCCCCGAAAAAAGTTGTAACAAAGAATGTATGTTTATTTAACACCTATGAATAAAATATATATAAAACAGAATAAAATGTTCCGGAACAAAATATGCTGCTATTTTAATGGTCTCGTGCCTTGGTCATTCCCTCTCCAGGAAAGATACACACATGTTTCTCTCACACAGGTATTTGGATGATATTCTCTTTCAAAACTCATGTACGAATTTTTGTAGCAGATATATAGCTTTATACACTTTAACAAAGTTAAAATGATTGTAATAGTGATGAGAAAGTATATTGAAGAAGATAATTTAAATTTTGTTGTAACAAGTAAATGCCTAATTAATTTGAAGAAAGTTTGATTTAAATTTCATATGTGCAATAACCATTTATACATGTGTATTTTATATATTGATTATTTAGATAATAAAGTTGTATAGATTATAAGAAGTGTTTCATTCTGTATTTAATATAACATTATGTTCTTTACATATCATCAATAATGAAAAAGTGTTTTCGTTAGAAAATGGACATTGAGTTGATAAAAAAAAAAATGCAAAAATGAAAGTTTGTGTAGTAAAAAAAAACAATTATAATATATCACCATTTGGATAAAGAAGAAAATTATCTGAAAAACAATTTTGCCAACATTATTATAATCTTTGCATATGATATATATTTGTTTGGTTGATTGGGTTTTACATGACTAGGACACAGTACAAGCCATATGGCTACGTTCCAGCTTTACAAGTGGAGGAAGAAGTCGGGGTGCCCTTCCGTGCATAATTTCAGGCACGAATGGGCACCTGAGTAGAACCACCGACGTTCGATAGCTCCCTTTCATGGAAAAATCCAAAATCATGTTGTGATTCGAACACTTAGCGGTCAGGGCAAGTGGTTCAAAGTCAACGCAGGATTGTCAAATAAATCCACATGTCTTTACATATCCAAAGGTGATTGATTAGATATTTCAATGCCTAAAGCTTAGGTATTGCTTGTAGAATTTCCAAGTGAATTTTATATGAACCCTGCTGCTGCGGATGAAGAGTGATGTCAAAAAGAGAAAAAGGGTTTCTAAAAAAGCTTTTCAAGCGTCCTTATTTATTATTTGTCAATTATCATGTAAATGTAATGTTTATAGATAAAATATTGTTTAAACAAAAACTTTGATCAAATTACCTTCAGCATCCGAGAAATTTTAATTAGGGATAGGTTTTTATCATTATACGCTCGTATTTACATACATGCCAATTCATTCATGTCTGACTTAGTCATTAAAGAAAGCTGAAATAATATTTAAAACACTAATAAAAGTTAAAACAACAGACAATAAGATAAAACATCAAAACTAACCTATAAATAATTGAAACACAAAAGTATATTGTTCAATGGAATTATGAATATTGTCACCATTATATCAACCAAATACTAATATTCGGCCAATATATGAAAACATTAGATTTGAGTTCCAGTAGGAAAAAATTAAAAGTGCAACACTGTGTTTGGCTGACGATTGTTTCATCAAAACAACATAGCTTATTTCTGAAATCATCGATGCGTTGTCCGCAATTTTGTTACACTTCATTCCTTTTTTGAACACGCAGATCTACTGGCGTGGTAGAAATTGTGGTACTCGTGCTGACGTCATCCACAAATTGACTCTGTGTTGGCGCTAGTTCATTTATAGCGTTGTATATAGCGGTAAGAAGAGGATATTCTCCGTCATTGCAGTAATGTCCGAGAAAATCGTCTCGATCCAGTGTCCAAAACGTAACACCGGCAATACCCCGACTGTAAGCAAACTTCACCTGAAATTAAGCGTCATCGTTTGTTATTTGAGGCAATGTTGAATAGAATCTTGTAAGCATTAAGGTGCGTTAAGCTATGAATTAATCTGTGGACGTCGTGAATTAATTTATATTACCATACTATTGTGGAACGATTAATTATATAAGGTTGTAATATGTATCCATAAGTTACTAAATTATTAGTCTAGGCTAAGCAAACATTACGTCTCTGTTCATTTAATGATTGTTTCAATCATACTGTTTCAGCCGTGCAATTATAAACTTTACACCATGTCGCAACCCCAACACGACAGAACGACAAATTGAGTGAGTTTATCAATAATATATTTATTAAATTGTCTTCCAATCACGATAATTTATATCATCGGTACCGATCATACGTACTTTTTCTTTCATACTTTTAGGATTACCATACCCCACCCACTGGTCATCTAAATATGCGTATGCCATCTTTTGTTCATCGTCCCATCGATGAATTGCTCCATTCTTTATCATTTCACACACCTTCAATTTATAAAAAGGATGGTGTTTGACAGTGCAAAATGAAACAAAATATTGCCTAAAATAATATAGAATCGTAAAATTATGATGTATTTACCGCCTGTTACGATATTAATATATCAATAAATTTTTACAGAATTAAAGATTACATTGTTTCCTATTGTTCATTAGCTTTTAGTTTAATCACTCCGGAATTATGAATATCATCTCAGTGTTATGTTTTCGTTGAGATTTGTTTCCAATGGTTTATTAATAGAAAATGTATACTGTAATTATTGGAGTTCTTGAAGACAAAGATGACAGATTGCCTAAATATTGCTTTATTAAACTATTTCTGTACACCAATTAAGTTATTTGAAACAAACTTCCCTTCGTGAAAGAGAATATCAAGATCAAAACCGAATAAAACTTTCAAATTGTTTCAATGAGTTGTAATAATAACAACAGTATTCTGATGCACATAAATACCCTATAATAGGTCACATGTCCTTTATCGCCTAGGTATGGCCCTTTTTTCCCAGCACCATCAACCGGGGATCCTACATCAGTAACGGTTCTATTACTGAGTGTAAATGATGTGGCCGTGCTTGTAAGACCCATGATCAGCTTGTTACGTGGAGCCCCTCCTGATATCCATCTGTCTACTGCCCATGCCTGAAATATCATATATGAACATAAATCTTGCTTATGTTTTTTTCAAGATAACACGCCACCCTAATCTATCTTAATCACTAATGGAATATTGGATATAAGTATATGTGTGTAATCTTAGAGAACAAAAATACTTCGTTACTGTACCAACATCAAGGCTGCCATTTTATCAAACTCATTGCTAAAAGGCACAACTTTGTCATTAACACGGTTGTATAAATCAACAACCGTGTCACGTTCGAGAATCTACCTACAATGTATTTACCTCGTCCTAACAAACAGGTTAGTATATCGTTGCCTTGTTCCACATTGTTGTTTTGTTTGTAGCTTAACATTTGTGTTGTTGTCGAAGATAGAAATTTTGTCAAAGAATGATCATTTAAGGTATTTTCTTTTCTGTGTCGGCACCACAAAATTTGAAGTATTTGAATAATTTTAGGGGACCAGAAATTATATCACAAAACAGGCAAATGCACTGTGCTTCGATTATAACTACAATATCAGAACTTACTTGACTAAGTTGTTGGTTGAATCTGGGATTTGACAATCGTGAAAAAAGTGGTGCAGTGAAACTTGTAACATCACTCCAAGGTCCATGAAAATCAAACGCCATTATTTGTATATAGTCAACATCCCTAAATACAAATGAGAAAAATGAGAAAAAATGAGAATAAAGACCAACAAGACAAAGCAACCTTCACAGAACGCAGCATCCGACACAATCCAGTCACACCAGTAGGGCTCCAAGAAGGCAACGAACTAAAAATTGGGAAAAGACACAAGGGCGGTGAAAAGAGCAGGGTATGTTATTAGTGAAATGATAAGAACTAAAAGGGCCCAATACGGGAATTGAAGGGACAAGGGGTTTAAGGAAAAAATAAGGGGTAAAGGGGGTGGGCGTAGGGCACAAAACGGGATAAAAGGGGGAATGGAAAGAATATACTTACCGTTAATGATGTTTTAACATTGTAGCACATCAAAAACCTGCAAACATTCCATTCAAAACATTTAACAATACACAAAACATGCATGTGAAGGAACATAGAGAGGTACAGCCTTCGAACGGTCAGTTGTAATAGAACCAGAATATTCGTATGAAAGAAAATTATACCACTATGCAATTTTATTTCAAATGGACACGAGCTGAGCTTTACATAGAATCATTGAGGAAACGACCATGGGGTTATTTGGTCTTAATATCAGTAAATCTTTTCTTATAAGCAAGGGCATTCAACAGAAACTATAAAACAGTTTACCTGGATATTGAGGAAATGTTGTATGAACTGGTAATAGTTTCTTCTCCGACTGCAACAGCAATAGAGATGAGCAATCGTTTTTTACTCGTGCGAACTGCTTCTTGTTCAAACTCAAGCCTCATTATCTGAAGAAAAGAATATTCACAATATGAAAGGCATATACATTATGATAACGTATTGTCGGTAAAATCCTGTTAATTGGATTGCACATATTTTTAAAAGTTTTCACTGTTCATAAAATAGTATATATATTAAATATTACAAGTAAGATCAGGGCCTTCAGGGGTATGTCTCGCATAATTACCCAATAACTTTAATAACCCATTAGTATGGTTTAGTCAGTTCTCTTCACGTTCATTTATGTCACTTTGCTGTCATTCAATCCGCAACTATTTGTGCTTGTGAGCAAATTCTATGTTCAGTGAAAAAGTTATAATTTAAGATATATAGTGCCATAAGGAAATATCCGTGTTCAACATATATATGTAAAATATTTATCTACTTAACATACATGAAGATATTTTTTAATAGTTTTACTGCGTTTTTCTTCCTTTAAATGCAAACTATTGTTAGAGTAATAAGAGAGAATAAATTGTTTTATGCGGACAAAGAGGACACAGTTATCGTTTTGAAGAAAGGAATAAACAAAAACCAGTCTGGATTTTCAAATAATCAAAAATTGTATCATCACACAGATTAAACTAGTATTTGAAAATGCAAATGATGCGATACAGGAATTTAAAAACAGACAAATAAATTACAGTATGTAGATCGGTTTTTAATATAGCTGCAAAAGTCATGGAAAATAATTAAGTCCTGGCTTAAATGAAAAAAATAAATTTAAATAAATTCTTGACATGTGTTTTGGCTTAATTAGGAAGAATGTGACATTTCTATGTCGTAGTCTTCGGGTTTGCATCTTTAAGCTATGATAATAAAATATTCTAGACGACAAAGTATTTTTAGTATGGTGAGTTACATCACAATAGTGTTTGAAATTATTTATTGTCCAATAGGATTGCAATGTTTCAAATGAATCGTAACACATTTACTTTGGTAAATCGGGAAACTGTTAATCAGTTTAGTAAATCGATTGTTTATAAAAAAATAATTTAAAGCACTTAGTCGGTTAAAATTTATTAGTACGTATTTACAAAATTAAATTGGTCGCGCGACTTAAACTTCTACAAAAACATGACATTAAACGCATAATTTATTTAATTTCTTGCGACAAACTATAGTCTATAACAATGTAAAGATGTACCCACGTGCTACTAAAGTAAACAAGCACAAATGATTATCATTTGTGTTATTAACTAGATAAAGGTTAGTATAGGTTAGTGTTCATTAGTAAGTATTAACAAAATTAAATTGGTCAAGAGAAATATTCTATGACGTTAATCCGGTTATGTTTTACTGTTTTATTTGATGTATTGTATATAACATGATTAGAATGAGACACTCAACAATCAATGTTATTACCCCTCACTTTTTTCTTAATGTTAATTTCCTATAGGCCTCTGGGAGTTATTCTTACTGTTAATGCAAGTGTACCACGTGACTAGGAATTTTGTACTGTTACATAGGTATAACAGTATTTTTAACAGGATAAAATCCGGTCACGTGATCTATTTTCTAAATAAAATGAAATAAAATGGCCGCCATTTTCCCCTTGATTCATTCTTTTTCTCGACGATAAGGCCTAGGGCATCATCGAAGTAACTATGACTCTCATAAAATTTAGTTCTTTGCACCCTAGAGTTTTCTCGTATAAAATATCTTTTTGTTGAATAGTCAAAAAGTAAACATCCGTTGTCAACTGATGTAATTGTAATGTGAATAATTGTGTGTCAAACTGGAACATGCAGACGATTAAAGCATCCAACAAAGGATTATTTAACAATTTAATTTTAACCAGTGAAACGTTACAGATAGAGTTGGTGGACAGACATCTGTAGGAAATGATCGTTAATTTGTAAATGCACTTTGTCAAAAACAATGCGAAACAGAAGGATCAGATTTCACAGATCATAACCTTATAAATGGGTTAGTGTTTTGTTAACTAATAAAACACAGCTTATTGTATGTTTATGACTGGTAGATATCATCACTTGCTTAAAGAATTTAAGAAAAACAGCTTCTCAAGTAGGCCTACAGTACACTTAAAACTTGCAAGATAAGGACAATTTAGTTATTGCTACTCTTGGTTTATTTTTGTTACAGTTCGATTTAGTACACAAATTCATCACAGTATTTGTTCAGGGTAATTACATAAATAACACATGGGTTTGTGGGTAACAGTAAATATATCATCCCTCGTAAAATACTGTTACCCTTGGCTACGCCTCGGGTAACAGTATTTTCCTCGGGATGATATTTTAACTGTTACCAACATACCTATGTGTTATTTATATACTATATATGAAAATACCTTTAGTAATTGTGTGAATTTGTTTCGGTATATATCGTCCGGCCACTCCCAATCGATATCGATACCATCGAAATCACGATCCCTCAGATATATCGCTACATTTCTAGAGAATAATTTCATCGTCTCTGGTGAACGAACAATTGATACAAATCCCCCACTTCCGGCACTGGCACCGCCTATTGATAAAAGTGTCACTAAGTTCGGGTGTTCTATCTTCAGCTTATTAAAGTCGAAATATCTTCCTTTCTTGGTGACAAGTTGGCCATTGTCGTCATCATTTTGGGATGGAGTAAGTCTAACATTTGATGCATCAATTTTTGCAAAAGCGTAGATAAGATGTGAACACAGCGTTACATTGATGTCCCGGATGTCAAATCTGGCATCAAATGACGCAAACTTGTTGGACCAGTTAGTGAAATAACAGAAGTTCTTCAACGTGGACTCTAAAAATGGACAAAATTTGTAAATAAATTGGCAATTAGAGTAATGATTGTAAAATAACCACGAAGCGGATTATAGCATGTGACATTTCGATGATAAGTGTTAGCCATTCCTATAAATATCCTCGGATATATAAATCTGTTCTATGTTAGATAATATAAAATACATAATATCGATGTATAATTAACATGATGAAAATGTTATTACACATATTTATGTATTGTCCAGGTCAAGCAAATATAACTGGCAAGACGAACTTGTTTGGTATGAGATAAAACACAACATTTAGGTTGAATGAAATAGGGCATTTATCAAATGCCATAAATGACAAATGTTACATAATAACAAACATGGCATGTACATATTTGTATCGAAATAACCAAACTGGGAGGTAAAAACCGCCACAAAGGGAACCTTCCGCCACCCAGAGAGACTTGACTAGGTATGAGATTGACCTGTGATAAGGATTGAAACCTTATATGTGTCACAATTGATAATGTGGAAAGAGCATATTTTTGTCTTTTGATATCAATCCATTTAATAACTGATTGTAAAATTCGATTTAATATTAGATTAGTAAAAGTGAAATAAATGTTGCGCATTTTACTTGTATGTACCTTGTGTACCAAGCATATGTTTAAGATGTCAATTTGTAAAACATTTGTTTAAATTTAACCATTACACTAGAAAGATTAAGTCTTAAAGACAAGAAAAGTATAACGTATTATGAAAGTAAACCAGATAGGAACATTTGGAGTTTGAAACGACACAATTTTGCAGCTTTGGTCTAATGGGAAGATACTGTCTCGGAGACTTTTCTACAGAAAGGAGAGAAACAGAATCCCTAAAAAGAAACAACAAAATGGCAAAATTGAAATGCTGCAGGCTCGTTTTGATTGAGTATTTGCATAGGCGGTAGTGATATTTAAACCGAGTCTGCAACAGTTTCAATTTTGCGCTTTCATGCGTTTTTTTACGGATTTCATTTTCTCTACTTTACTGAATACACAATTGTCAAAAATATTCAATACTGAAAATTAAGCTCTGTTGGCTGTTTAACACAGAGATCTTTAAAAAGAAGCATGCGAGAGGTCTGTTTGCAGCTGTTGAAGATTTGTTTAATTCGAAAATATTTGGGAATATTTTTTTGCATCAAAGGCAAAATAAATGGTTATAAATAACAATTAATTAACAAAATAGAATTTATTATTTATATTGAATGTAGTATCATAAATTCATAATGAAAGTTTGTTTTACACTTTATTTTTTTGCACTTTATGTTTTGAATTATATGCCGGAGAATATTTTTTTCTTGTTGGTATTTTTTTAAAAGGGGGGGAACAATCTATGTTATGTCATAAAAACAAAAATTTAAAAAATGATTGTTTTCTTTAAAAAGTAGTATCAAAAAAAAAAGTTTTTGAAATTATAAGAAAATTTCAAATTACGGTTTGTAAGTATAGGGAAAAATTTTCCCTTATTTTTTCCAAAGGGCAAAAGTTGTTAATCAATTTAAGCCCCAAATTTAAAAAAAATGTTTATTTTTTTGGGGCGTATATAAGGCGCATAAACCCAACCACAATTTTAAAGAAATTAAAATTTGAAAAGTTTGTCCATTTGGCCCCAAAAAATTCCCCGTTGCTTTATTTTTATCCCAGTTAAAATTTTAAAGGGAACCCGCAAATTTCGGTAACGGTTCACCCCGGTATTAATGTGCATGTTGTATTCAGTTAAAATGTTACAGTTACTATTTATCGGAGCATGAAATTGTAAAACACTATTCAGAAAACAATACGGTAATCGATTTATACAGTTTAAAAGACTAAAACGGAAAGAAACATCCACGTAGTGCTAAGAAATTTAATTAATATTTTCCGATTTTTCCATGTACCGATCTATTCACTTCAATGTTAATTTTTCGTTTAAGTAAAGTCGTATTTTGAAGCGGTATATGCGCATAACAGTTTCAGTAGACTGCTCCTAATGATTAAACGCTTTAAATGAGATTCATCCACTACAATCAGATACGCAAAAATGGATGGCACTAGCTATCAGTCTGAACACTGTGGAGAGGTCTGATGACCTCTCCAATGATAAGTGCTATATTTTGCAGTGACACTGGGTAGTATGTTTCAATATTGTTCAATTATCAATACTGTCCGTTAACTGGCTCAATCAAGCCGAACCTGCAATATCTTCAATTTTGCCGTTTTCAAATTTGAATAAGTAGAGTCAGTGTACCCGGTTCCGCACAGGACCCGGTCCCGCACACTTTCCCATTTTTCATTTTTCTTGAAAATTTAAATGAATTTATTCAGTTTTCTTTTGTGTTTCACTGAAGTGGCATGTTTTCAACAAGATATGACATAATCTGGGATCTTGCACCCAGCCTCTCCCTGGAGAGTGCAGACGAAAATGTTAATACATGTACATGGCTGTGTAGGTCAGACATAAAAACAACTTATTCAGCAAGTAAACCATGCTAATTTCTATTTTAATGTTAAGATTATTATAAAATATATATTTGAAAAGAAATGTATGTTTTTGTTATGGCAAATTTGCTGTAAGTTATGAAATATATAATGCACATGAATTAACTTCTTCTAACTACCAAACGCCAAGTCATTTCACCTTGATTCTTTTGTTGAAAATAATACCAAACTCTTAATCGAACAAATCATAACTAATAGATGAAAAAAACTTTCAATAATTATTTTTATGTCTGTTTTACTAGCTACAAGTGGTAAAAAGGTATGTTTCCATTGCTGTTACATGTTTCCTGTGGAAATAAATGTTTGTATACTGTAGTAAGAATGTGCATTAAATTTATTTGTAGTCCTGAAAATTTGCAAAAAAATATATCTTATCTGGACTTAGAGATGTTAAATAATTTATAAAACATGTTTTAGATGTAAAATAACCTTTCAGTATAAAATGGCCTTGTGTGCGGAACCGAGTCCACTATTTATTAAATTTGGCCCATTCCTGTTGCTTAAAATCAAGTGCGCCTAGAAGTATGACCTTTTTAAGATAGAAACGTTTTGGTCATCAGTTTTTATGGGCAAAGGATGTTATTTTCAAAATTATATCAAATATAAGAAGAATTTTTAACTATAAAATAATTTTCTTATTTTTCCTTAAAAAAGTGTACGACACCGGGTACACTGACTCTACAATGAATATAAAACAATATTTACTCCGACTAAATATTTAGAATAAAGATATAATTATATCTATCAAATATCAAGCTAAATGACAGAACGATGTTTATATTGTGTTTTTCTACATTTACATACTATTTGTTCTCATATGAAAATACCAATAAAATATTTATTATCTGCCCAACTGATCATGTCTATTTATTTAACCATATTATCAACAGAGAAATATCATAACATACTCGGTTTTGAAATCCCTGATCCACTACCTGTTGCTGTGCTTATTGGTATCAATTGAACGTCATGTCCGCTTTTATCAGTGCTATTATGAAGTCGGAAATCTTTAGGCGTTGTTGAATGTGTGGTACTCGTTCTCTTGTCATCCACAAATGGACTCTGTGTTGGCGCCAAATCGTGAATAGCGTTGTGTATTGCGGTAAGAAGAGGATATTCCCCGTCATTGCAGTAATACCCGAGAAAATCGTCTTGATCCAGTGTCCAAAACGTAACACCGGCAATACCCCGACTGTAAGCAAACTTCACCTGAAATCAAGCGCCATTGTATGTCACTTCAAACATGATATAATTATTATCATGAGTTTAAGTTTCATACGAGTACCACAAAGCAGTTAGGTCAGTTTGGAATTGTATTGTTCTTTGTATGCGTGAAATTTATTTATATACATGAACATGATGGAGTAACAAATCATGAAATATATTAGATTTTTATTAATTTTACCATAAACGTTGTTTGTGTCATCATGTCAAAACCTAATTGTCTCGTTTCCTTCAATATTACATGTTGAATGGTTTCTCCTATGTCGTTATATCACTTTTGTCCTTGCAAGCCAAAAAGCAGTTTGGTCAGTTTGGAATTGTATTGTTCTTTGTACGCGTGAAATTTATTTATATACATGAACATGTAGTATGATATCAGAAACGGTATGGAGTAACAAATTATAAAATATATTAGATTGTTTTTAATTGTACAATAAACGTTGTTTGTGACATCATGTCAATACATCCAGCTAGCTTAAGGAACGTTGGTGGTTCTACTCAGGTGCCCGTTCGTGCCTGAAATAATGCACGGAAGGGCACCTGAGGTCTTTCTTCACCAGTAAAGCTGGAACGTCGCGATATGACCTATATACTGTGTCGATGTGACGTAACCCCCCCCCCCCCCCAAAAAAAAATAAAATAAAAAAATGTCAATACATAATTGTCTCCGTTTCCTTCAAAAGTTCATGTTGAATGGTTTTCTCCCATGTCATTATATAACTTTTGTCCTAGCAAACCAAACGACAATATGACGAGGACGTCAATATTTGTCGTGTTGGTCGTATCGGTGTCCAAACACAAAATCAATAAAAAAATAAATTCTGTCATAATAATTTGTTTGTGTTGTAAGTAGGTGATGCTACTGCCTTTTTTTCTGTTTTGTATTTCTATATTTTGAAGGTTTACTTATTCTTCAAAATATCGTATCGGTATATATTATAGTCATACAATATATTTAAAACTGCTGTAGTTTCAGGCTTTGTTGATTTCAATGTGACAAGGTAACTTTTAAAAATATAATGTTATCTGAAGCGACTGTACTTACTTTTTCTTTTATACTTTTGGGATTGCCATAACCAACCCATTGGTCATCTAAATATGCGAAGGCCATCTTTTGTTCGTCGTCCCAACGATTTATAGCCCCATTCTTTATCATCTCACACACCTTTAAATTACCACAATTGAACAATTGGATATATACAGAGACACAACAATATCTAAACATTACTGCCCTAATATTTGTTATTTAAATACATGTACTATTTCTTTTAAATAACTGGTTTGGAATTATGTTCAATGATTTTGTTGTTGTATGGCCACCTTATATTTTTCCTCATTGCAATGATTTAAACTTTCTGTCTCTTATGTAGATTACTAATTTTGTATAAAACACTGTTGCTTAAAAATAATCCAAACATAGCCAAGGGAAAATATTCATATAACTTATTTATTCTCAATTTTTAAAATTCTTTTTGGTAGATTGTTAAAATCAATGATTGTGGGTTTTTTCTGGTGTTTTATTACCCTATAGTAGGTGACATGCCCTGCATTGTTAAGATAAGGTCCTGGTGTTCCTGGACCATCCACCGGGGATCCTACATCAGTAACGGTTCTATTACTGAGAGCAAATGAGGTGGCCGTGCCTGTAAGACCCATGATCAGCTTGTTACGCGGAGCCCCTCCTGATATCCATCTGTTTACCGCCCACGCCTGAAATATATTTAACTATAAACACTGTCGATACTTTGTTGCTGAACATATTATACCATTTGAAGTAAAAAATTAATGTTCAATGACATTTACATAAATCTTTAGGTTTAGGGGGCATTGATCCATATACTTTACACTTTTTTGGTGACCATATCCCACCGTCCAATGCTTTCTGGTCATAAGTTCAAAAGACCCGACTTAGTCCCTGGCTCTCCAACTACATGCTTATATCTATTTTACACAGACACATAACAAATAAAGAAAACAATCAGGGTTAAGATAGAATCAATCATGTAATACAGCACTTATTCGGTTTACTAAAAGAATGACTTACGGATATAGATTCTGGTAAGTATGTTAGAAGTTTAGTTTCGTTTTATTAAAAGCCTTTGATATTATAGACCATAAAATTTCATTGCATCAGTTAAAACTTGATTATTGTTACATTAAAGTGTCAATGTTTTAAAAATTGTATCTTATCAAAAAGAACTCATGCAGTAAAAGCGGGAGGTATTATATCCAACAGCAATATTGCAACATCTAGAATTCCTCTGTACGTACAGTACTATGTCTTGGTCCACTTTTATTCTTATCATATACATAATAATTAATGATATCGCATTAAAACTGTAACAAAGGGAAATATACGAATACTATGTTGTTGAATTATTGTAACTTGTTGTAATTCATAATTTCATCAAACAAAATCAGAACTTTGTTTCGGTCAGCCAATCTTTAGACATATTTAGGCAATATCATTTTAATATCGGATATCAGCACAAATGCCCAAAGACTGAATTTTGATTTTGGTATGAAAATTGAATCGGTGATATGATATATCGATATATCGTGCCTTGGCACCACGATATTGAAGGTATTTGAATTAATGATCTTATTAAAATAAAAAATATATGTCAACATCAAACTGGCATCTTACACGCATGTCATACACTATGTATGAATTATAAGTAAAATACATAGAGGATATTTGTTTGTTTGTGTGTAAGATGAAATTTTATTTCATCGAGTGGGCTTTAAAAACAGTATTCTCACGAGTGGCGTAGCCACGAGTGAGAATACTGTTTTTAAAGTTCACGAGATGAAATAAAATTACATCTTACACAACAAACAGACACATTCTCTTTTTATTTTATGCTTAAAAACAAGTTAAAACGAAATTTCCATAATTTTAACGTTAATATTAAAATCTGTTTCTCCCATTGAGAGCCCCATTTAGTCGGAATTTCTCATTAAAAACAAGAAGTCTTGAGCTGAAAAATAAGTCCGCCAATCAACGTTAAATGACGGTGATATTTATTCATTTTATTAAAAAAATATGAATGATCGCTTGTTTTGATAATAAAAACAAACAATTCTTGTAGGAGAAAAAGTCCAACCATCCATCCATATTTCTGTTACTTACTGCGAATTTATATTAGACCTGGCTTTGTAAAATGTAAACGGCAGCCATTTTTTAAAGTTGTATATTTCATGGGAGGAAAATAATTGTGTTAGATTCAGAGGGATATAATTTGGATTTGTTAGTCATACACCTTTTTAAAAGAAAGAAAACTTATTTGAGGATTGTAACAGACAAAAAATAAGTGTTTACAGATGTGAAAACATTTAGAAAAGGAGCTAGGAAAATGGAAAACTTGGAAGCTTGTTCAGAAACGCTGGGTTGTTTTACTTATTCTTCGAGTGATGGCTGTCAATGCTTTTCAATTTTTCATAAAGCATACGGCAGTTATTGCTGGTAGGATACTTTAATATGCCCAAATGTCATCAAGAGCAGTTTTTCATGGGAAAAAATGTATTTTTCAGACTGTAAAAATGAAACCAAAAAAATAGAGACGAAATTTGGTGATTGGAATTTGAATGAAAAAGAAGTAAGTTTTCTTCTTTTTATTACTTTTGACATTTAAGTTATTTATCAATTTCAGCTTTGCTTTTTCTTTAGACCGCCGGACATTGTCAGAATTGCAGCAAAAATGAAATTAAGGTACCACATGGGGAAAATCTTAAAAAAGTAGTTTCGTCATTGAAAAGAGTGAAATTATATTTTGATAATTTTCACTGTGAAATTAACAAATATAATTTTCACGGATAAATCAGTAATCCACTGAAAAGTATAAAATAAAAGACGTTACCTGGTTATGTTGTGGGTTAAATCTGGAATTTGACAAACGGGGGAAAAGAGGATCACTGAAACCAGTAACATCACTCCAAGGGCCGTGAAAATCATACGCCGTAATTTGTATGTAGTCAACTTCGCTACAAAAGTATTATTAACACATAAGTATAATAGAATTTCATTTTAGGGTGCAAATGGGCACTAATTGTGCAGTAAAATGTCGTGCCTATTCTTTGTTCATTCTGTCTACGCTTTACGAAGACTTGAAAAAGCACATGATATTAACTTAGAAAAAATCCTTTCATTACAACTGACTTGCAATTAAAGAAAACGGAACAAAATGAAGTAAAACAGATTACCCAGATATTGAGGAAATGTTATATGAACGTGTTATAGTTTCTTCCCAGGCAGCAACAGTAATTGAGATGAGTAGGCGCTTTCTACTCCTTCGAACTGCTTCTTCTTCAAATTCACGCCTCATTGTCTAAACAAATGGAATATTTATATGGAAAAAGTAATGCTTGTGGTATTTTCTGTCATTGTTAGAAGTTAAGTGAATATTTTCCTTGACAACTTCACGGGTATCCAGATAGTGACGAAATGTATTATGAGCTGGCTCGACAGCATGCAATGGATTATGGGTAGTTTTTACTCGTTCGAACGGCCTCACTAAATTAATATTTGCTATGTGTGTTATCGGTAAAAATTGTTAAATTGAAATCATCGTGTTTTAGAAAAAAAAAACGAAAGTAGAATCTGTGTTGGATTATCAGCCTGTTATATGAAAAAAAAGAATAGTTAATGAATTACATAGTTAATGAATTACAAAGTTTTTAAGGAATTAGCTAAATATTTGTGTCTAACACAAGGCATATTTATATGATAAATGTGATAAATGTTATAAAGGTAGAGTGTCTTGTTATCACGGACATACTTGTTCGGAAAAACAATACTCTTGCTGAAACTATTTGTTTTTCCTACTAAAACTTTTAATGAACTAAGATATACTAGGTCTTGTTTATAATCATTCTTTCTGACTTATTACAGACAATTTAAGTATTTGTAATTTAACTCTGCTTTGCAAATAAACTTCATGCATACTTGATATTTTAAATATCAATAAAAGGATAAAGTAGGTTAAGGTGTTTAAATAGTAAAATATGTAAATAGATTGAAATATTTTCAAGTTATCATTCTATTCATTCCCGCCTTGTTCTGTGTTTATAAGTTATCAGTTCCATGTACATTGCCGTCATCGAGCGTGCATTTCAAAGGCCAAGCTTGACGGATTATATGGTATTTTGATTAAAGCTATAATAGATATAGGTGCATACTTATTTAAATAAACAATTCTTCTCAAAACATTTAGTGCGTCATAATTGATACATTGTAAATGTACGTATATTTTACAGGTATTTTACATATTTCTGTATCATGTAACAAGTACCTTTAGTAGTTGGGTGTATTTGTTTCGATATATATAGTCCGGCCACTCCCAGTCGATATCGATACCATCGAAATCATGATCCCTCAGATATATCGCTACATTTCTAGAGAATAATTTCATCGTCCCCGGTGAATTAACAATTTGTACAAATCCACAACTTCCGGCACTGGCACCGCCTATTGACAATAGTGTCACTATGTTTGGATAATCTACCTTCAGCTTATTAAAGTCGAAATATCTTCCTTTCTTGTTGTAAAGTTGGCAATTGTCGTCATCATTTTGAGACGGAGAAAGTCTAAAATTTGATGCGTCAATTTTTGCGAAAGCGTAGATAAGATGTGAACACAGCGTTACATTGATGTCCCGGATGTCAAATCTGGCGTCAAATGACGCGAGTTTGTTTGACCAGTTAGTAAAATAACAGAACGTCTTCAACTTGGATTCTGAAATGTAAAATACAAAATTTGTAAAAATAATGGCAATAAAAGCAATGGTTGTTAAATAAGCACGAAGCGGATTAAAGCATGTAGAGAAGCGTAAGCCATTCCTACAAAAATCCTAGGAAATCCAAATCTGTTCTATTTTAGATATAGAGAATAATAGGTTGGTGCGACGGATGGAGAAAGTTTATCAGGCGAGGCGGAGGAATTTATTGGGTGAGCCGAAGGCGAACCCAATAAATTCCGGAGCAGAGCCAGATAAACTTTCTCAATCCACGGCACCAATCTATTATTCTATTTATCCTGTCACCGATTTTTTTAAGAAGTTTATTAGGCAAACTACCTTTAATCACACTATCGGAAATGTTTCTATATAAACAAAGAAGACCCGAAGCCTACAACAATGCACGCGCCGTTCTTATTACCTCCCTGTATATTTTCACATTGAGGGCGCCATTTTCTTTGAAAAATACGATAATAAAAACATTTTTTTGTCGAATTTTGTTGTGAAAAACTATCTAGAATGAAAGAAAATGGTCAAACTAAGAAAATGAATTCGAATTCGAAAACCAATATCTTTTATTCAGTCGTTAACGCTGTACAGACGTTTAAAGTATTGTTTACGTGACGTCACAATGTAGCGCCAAACAGCACGTGCAAAACAATCAATTCAAGTACGCTATTTTACTGTCGCAAACGAGTTAAGTTTTACATTTATTTTTATTTCGCTTGAAAATTTATAGAGTGAAATAAAATAAACAAACAAATTTTATCAACGTTTCCAAAATTCGTTATTCTACACAGAGAAGATTTAACGACAGTTTTTTCATACCACTGAAACGGCCTGTAAAGAACGTTTCTATTGGAAACTCTGAGGCGAAAACAAATTGAACCACCAAACTTAAAATCCAACATTATAATAATAATTTTATTTTTTCTTGAAAAGTAGTCCGGCAAACCAGGCATACCACGTGATATATGTTACGCATTTTATTTTTATGTACATTTTGTACCTAGTATAAAATTGCGGTGCCAAGATATAAAACATTTGTTAACACAAAGTTCTTGATAAAATGCAAATTCAACCATAAACAGAGAAAGCATAACATATTGAACGTCGCCTTTCCTTGATCTTTTTTTTATCATATTCTATAGACAGGAAGAGTAATGTCTTATGAAAATAAACTAGTTAGGAACATTTGGTGTTTGTGCATCGGCAGTAGTGGTAACTGCAAGCTACCTTCCCATTCACGCTTCCTAGCACTGACTTAAGCAGACATCAATTTTTAAACATGAAAATGGTAAATCTGAAACTTTACTTTGCGGATGATTTTCACCATTTGCTTGTATAAATGTTGAATTCTGCTAAAACCAGTGCTACGATATTGGAACGGTAGCCTGCACTTTCCTGTACCGTCCATTAACAGAGCCTGCAACATTTTCAATTTTGCCCTTTCGGGCGCTCTTTACGGATTCTTTTTCTCTATTTCCTTAAACTGAACCTGCAATACCCTCAATTTTGCCGTTTTAAGACGTGATTAAGGGATTCTGTATATTTGGAAGATGTGCAAAAGTTCAAATCCCGAAAAATAGATATCTCGTAGACCAAATTTGTAGTAGTACAATGAATATTAAACAGATCTGTATGGAAGCCGTAAAAGTTGCCCCATACTTCACTTCAGATTGGCTATGTTTTCTAGTCCTTTAAGATAATTGAGTCCGGTACTTGAGTGTTGAAAATCAAGTACCGCTAAAGCCGGTGTAAGAGAGCGTGAGGAATGTTGCACTTTTCATTATACCTCAAGTACAGACTCAATTAAACCGAGTCTGTAATTTTCAGGTAATTTTGCTGTTTTAAATGCTTCCAAGGGATCACATTTTTACCAGAAATTTACCATATGCTGGTACGAAAGTGTAATATCGAAGGTTCCGTGATAACCTCCGTATGAACACTTCTGCGAATGTTTCTAATTCAAAATTTTGCAATTCCACGATTAAATGTTGTATTCTGTTCATGCCGAAGCTTCTGGCCGTGGATGGTAGTTTGCACTTGACCGTACCGTCTATGAACAGGCTCAATCAAACCGAGTCGGCAATATTTTCAATTTTGCCGCTTTGGACTTCCTGAGGGATTCTTATTTCCTCTATTTTATTGCCACATCAGCGTTGATTCTGCCGTGTGGATGTGTAAAAAGTCATTTCAATCAGAGATGTTATATTTCCGATCCTTAAAGATCGTTCAATACGACATTACAGTGTGGTTCCAATATTCCTACTTGAATAATGTTAAATCAATCTGAGGATATGTGTCTGAGGATATGTGGCTTTTTGCCGTCTTAATTATGTGTGATAAGCAGGTTTCATAACCTCTGTTCCCTTTTAAAATTCCATTTTGTTTAGTTCCGCCGATTCTTTTCTTATTAAGGGCACACACTTTCTATTACTTGGGGACCATACGCCGCTTTTCATGGAATGGCACTGACGTATCACAATGAAGGTCCCATGATACCAACCGCCGTATGAGATCATCTTCGGATGATTCTAAAATACAACTACCATTTCATGTTTAAGTGTTGAATTCTACTTAAGCCGGTGCCAGGGGGCGTGCACGGTAGTTTGTACTTGACAGTACCGTTCATGAACAGGCTCAGGCAAACCAAGCCTGCATTATTTTCAATTTTGCCGTTTTGGACTTTCTTTAAGGGTTCTTATTAAGTCTTTTTTTACACCGACAAAATATTAAGAATACAGATATAATTTTCTCACTAACCAAATAGAAAAATCCGTTAATGTTACTAAAAATAGCAGTGTTGGAAAATCTAATCTCACATGGGCTTATCTCACACTCAACGTGCAACACTTCTAAAAACATATTCCTACACATTCGCCATTCACTCCTATTTTAACAAAAATGAACCGTAAAAAGGTCAAAATGTCTAAAAAATATATGTGAGCTAATCTTTTAAATTGCCCACGGTTGAATTTAACTTTCACAATGCAATGAGTCCTACTTACCTATAGGTCCGCCCTTTTCAATATCGATCTGTTACTAAAAAAAGCACACTTTGAAATATCGCAAAATTCTTCGTTTAATCGGATATTATGACACTTTGCCTGTTCCCTGTTATGATAACGATGCTTCTTGATGACGAATCTCATTTTATTATATTTTAATTGAAAATCCGGCCTAAATAACCGAATAAGTTGAAAAATCTTTTCAAACGGTAAACGCTTTTTTCAACCACTGAAGTATGGACTGAATTCCTTATAAACACTTATATTATGACACTAAATCCGACTTTAATATTGATGTGCTTTATCATGATAACCTTGCTCTTATATGAATTTATTTTCATTGATTTTTTCACACATAAACTTGGTCAGTAAATTTTTTTCCGGACGTAAATAATGCATAGAAGCCCCACCCCGCTTTGTACATATATATGCGCGACTGATATTTATCTTTTGTTTCTTGTGTGTCCAGGTGAGTGAGAAACATAATCAATCATTGGGTTAGATAGAGGATAGGGAAATCCCAACCCTCTGGCAATCGGTTCCATCGGGAACTCGCCAAGGCTTGTCTTCGATGGAACCGATCACCCTCGGGTTGGGATTTCCCTATCCTCTATCTAACCCAATAATAGATTCTATTAATATCAATCAAATATACAATTTAATGACAATGTTTTTTCATATGAACGTAATATTAGTTCCCATATGGAAATACCAAAGAAAAATACCAATTGGTCAATGTCTATTTATTTAACCATATTAAAAACAAAGAAATTGCATAACATTACTCGGTTTTGAAATCCCTGATCCACTGCCAACCGTTTCTGTGCTTGTTGGTATCAATTGTACACCAGGTCCGCTTTTATCAGTGCTATTATTAAGTCGGGTATCTTTAGGTGTGGAAGAATGTGTGGAACTAGTGCTGACGCCATCCACAAATTGACTATGTGTTATCGTTAGTTCATTTATAGCGTTGTGTATTGCGGTAAGAAGAGGATATTCTCCGTTATTGCAGTAATGTCCGAGAAAATCGTCTTGATCCAGTGTCCAAAACATAACACCGGCAATACCCCGACTGTAAGCAAACTTCACCTGAAATTAAGCGTCATCGTTTATTATTTGAGGCAATTATGAATAGAATCTTGTAAGCATTAAGGTGCGTTAAGCTATGAATTAATCTGTGTATGTCTTGAATTTATTTACATTACTATTTACAACTAAATTAACTGTGGAACGATAAATTATATAAGATTGTAATATGTATCCATAAGTTACTTAAATTATTAGCTGAGGCTAAGCAAACATTACGTCTTTTCATTTAATGATTGTTTCAATCATACTGTTTTCAGCCGTGCAATTATAAACTTTACACCATGTCGCAACACCAACACGACAGAACGACAAATTGAGTGAGTTTATCAATAATATATTTATTAAATTGTCTTCCAATCACGATAATTTATATCATCTGTATCGATCATACGTACTTTTTCTTTCATACTTTTTGGGTTGCCATACCCCACCCACTGGTCATCTAAATATGCGTATGCCATCTTTTGTTCATCGTCCCATCGATGAATTGCTCCATATTTTATCATTTCACACACCTTCAATTTATAAAAAGGTTGGTGTTTGACAGTACAAAATGAAACAAAATATTGCCTAAAGAAATATAGAATCGTAAAATTATGATGTATTGACCGTCTGTTACGATATTAATATATCAATAACTTTTTACAGAATTGAAGATTACATTGTTTCGTATTGTTCATTAGCTTTTAGTTTAATCACTCCGAAATTATGAGTTATGTGTTCGTTGAGATTTGTTTCCAATGGTTTATTAATAGAAAATTTATATGGTAATTATTAGAGTTCTGGAAGACAATGATCACAGATTCTCTACGTATTGCTTAATTAATTAAACTATTTCTGTACAACAATAAAGTTATTTGAAACAAACTTTCCCTTCGTGAAAGAGAATATCAAGATCAAAACCGAATAAAACTTTCAAATTGCATCAATGTGTAGTAATAATAACAACAAATGCATGTTTACTGATTAACTTAAATACCCTATAATAGGTCACATGTCCTTCAAAGCCTAGGTATGGCCCTTTTTTCCCAGCACCATCCACCGGGGATCCAACATCAGTAACGGTTCTATTACTGAGAGTAAATGATGTGGCTGTGCTTGTAAGGCCCATGATCAGCTTGTTACGTGGAGCCCCTCCTGATATCCATCTGTCTACTGCCCACGCCTGAAATATCATATATGAACATAAATCTTGCTTATGTTTTTTCAAGATAACATGCCACCCTAATCTATCTTAATCACTAATGGAATATTGGATATAAGTATATGTGTGTAATCTTAGAGAACAAAAATACTTCGTTACTGTACCAACATCAAGGCTGCCATTTTATCAAACTCATTGCTAAAAGGCACAACTTCGTCATTAACACGGTTGTATAAATCAACAACCATGTCACGTTCGAAATTCCACCTTCAATGAATTTGCCTCGTCCTAACAATTGGTTAGTATATCGTTGCCTTGCTCCACATTGTTATTTTGTTTGTAGCTAAACATTTGTGTTGTTGTCGATGATAGAATTTTTGACAAAGAATGATCATTTAAGGTTTTTTCTTTTTTGTGTCGGCACCACAACATTTGAAGTATTTGAATCATCTTAGGGGGCCAGAAATTATATCACAAAACTGGAAAGCAGCAAATACACTGTGCTTCGATTATAACTACAATATCAGAACTTACTTGGCTAAGTTGTTGGTTGAATCTGGGATTTGATGTTCGTGAAAAAAGTGGTGCAGTAAAACTTGTAACATCACTCCAAGGTCCATGAAAATCATACGCCATTATTTGTATATAGTCAACATCCCTAAATATAACAGAAAAAAATGAAAATAAAGATCAACAAGGCAAAGCAACATTCACAGAACGCAGCACCCTATATAATCCAGTCACACCAGTAGGGCTCCAAGAAGGCACCGATCTTATAATTAGGAGAACACACAAGGAAGGTAAAAGAAGGGGCCTTGTAATTAGTGAAATGGTAAGAATTAAAAGGGCCCAATATGGGAATTGAAGGGACAAGGGGTGTAAAGGGAAAATAAAGGGGAAAATGGCGTGGGGGTAGGGCACAAAATGGGATAAAAGGGGAATGGGAAGAATATACTTACCGTTAATGACGTTTTAACAATGTAGCACAACAAAAACGAGAAGAGCTTTATATAGAATCATTGAGGAAACTACCATGGGGTTATGTGGTATTAATATCAGTAAATCTTTTCTTATAAGCAAGGGCATTCAACAGAAACTATAAAACAGTTTACCTGGATATTGAGGAAATGTTGTATGAATTTGTAATAGTTTCTTCTCCGACAGCAACATCAATAGAGATGAGCAATCGTGTTTTACTCGTGCGAACGGCTTCTTTTTCAAACTCACGCCTCATTATCTGAAGAAAAGAATATTCACAATATGAAAAGAAAGGCTCATACAGTGTAACTACTTGGTAATTTTCGGTAAAATGCTGTTAATTGGATTGCACATATTTTTAAAACGTTTGCACTGTTCATAAAATCGTATATATATTAAATGTTACAAGTAAAAGCAGGGGTATGTCTCGCATAATTATCCAATAACAAAAATAATTATAAGTATGGTTTAGTCAGTTTTCTTCACAGGCATTTATGTCACTTTGCTGTCATTTAATGCACAACTATTTGTGCTATAGTTCAGTGAAAAAGTGTAATAAGGATAGTTTATGATATATATGTGTAGTGCCATTACTGAAGATCCGTGTTCAACATAAGGTACAGATACATGCTAAATATATTTATGTACTTAACATACATGTTGATGTTTTTTAATCGTTTTTCTTCCTTTAAATGCAAACAATTGTTAGCGTAATAAGTAAGAATGAATTGATTTATCAGGACAAAGAGGACACAGTTATCTTTTTGAAGAAAGGAATAAACAAAAACCAGTCTGGATTTTCAAATAATCAAAAATTGTATCATTACAAAGATTAAACTAGTATTTGAAAATGCAAATGATGCGATACAGGAATTTAAAAACAGACAAATAAATTACAGTATGTAGATCGGTTTTAAATATAGCTGCAAAAGTCATGGAAGATAATTAAATCCTGGCTTAAATGAAATAAAAAATGAAATAACTTTTTGACACGTGTTTTAGCTTAATAAGGAAGAGTGTTACATTTCTATTTCGTAGTCTTTGGGTGTGCATCTTTAAGCTATGATAATACAATATGCTAGACGACAAAGTGTTTTTAGTATGGTGAGTTACATCACATAAGTCTGAAACTTCTACAAAAACATGACATTAATCGCAGATTTCAGTTAATTTTTTGCGACAACCTAACTTTATTAAGTCGTACTGTTGTAAGCATGTACCCACGTGCTAATAAATTATACAGGCACAAATGATAACCAATAACTAGATTTATGTTAGTGTTCATAAGTAAGAATTTACAAATTAAATTGGTCAAAATCAATATATCTTATGACGTTAGTCCGATAAGTTTTAATGTTTTAAATAATGTATTGTATATAACATGCTTAGAATGAGACAATAAACTAAATAAATAGCAAATCAATGTTTTGATTAGTTCTTTCTATTCGACTATTTTCTTGTTGGGTGGTTCCAGTATTCCTCACTTGAATACGCCCATTGTTTATTCGTTTAGTGCACACGAATTTGTTTACTTAGGGACCATAAACCGCTTTTCATTGAATTGTACATGTGTCACATTGAAGGTTCTATGATAACCGCCATATGAATACATCTGCGGATGTTTCAAAATTCCAAATTTTACCAGTTTATGTTAAATATTGAATACTGCTTAAGCCGGTGCTAGAGGACGTGGACGGTAACTTTTCAATACCGTTCATGAACAGGCTCAATCAAACCGTGCCTGCAACATTTTTAACTTTTGTGCGTTCTTTGGGGATTCTTTATTTCTGTTTATTTTAGTAATACGGTAAATTCATCGGTGAACAAATGCTCAGATTTAAACTTTATTCTGCTTACATGTACAGAAGAGGTATATTATATATATTATATACTACATATGTATCGAGGTATATTTCTAGAGTTAATGTGTATGAATGTGGTATCTAGTAAAACATGTTATCAATGTCAATAATGTTATTTACTGTCGACATTAATTACTATCACATCAGCTGTTAGTATAATCGACTCATAATTGATCTGTTAAATAACAAGATGTATCGACAACGAATGCAAACTTTTGAAAATGACGTTAAAATCAGTTTGACAAGACGGGTCATGTCGGTGTAACCCGTTACTTAACTAATACTGCATATGAAATACCTTCAACAATTGGGCGTATTTGTTTCGATATATATCGTCCGGCCACTCCCAATCGACATTGATACCATCGAAATCACGATCCCGCAGATATATCGCTACATTTCTAGAGAATAATTTCATCGTCTCTGGTGAACGAACAATTGACACAAATCCACCAATTCCGGCACTGGCACCGCCTATTGATAAAAGTGTCACTAAATTCGGATGTTCTATCTTCAGCTTATTAAAGTCGAAATATCTTCCTTTCTTGTTGACAAGTTGACCATTGTCGTCATCATTTTGGGACGCAGTAAGTCTAACATATGATGCGTCAATGTTTGCGAAAGCATAGATAAGATGTGAACACAGCGTTACATTGATGTCCCGGATGTCAAATTTGGCGTCAAATGACGCCAGCTTGTTTGACCAGTTAGTAAAATAACAGAACGTCTTCAACTTGGATTCTGAAATGTAAAATACAAAATTTGAAAAAATAATGGCAATAAACGCAATGATTGTTAAATAATCACGAAGCGGATTTAAGCATTTAGAGAAGTGTTAGCCATTCCTACAAAAATCCTAGGAAATCCATATCTGTTCTATTTTAGATAACCGGTTTCAAGTTAAGGTTAGAGGTAAGCATCCCGATATAGCAGTATAATTAACATAGTTAAAATGTTATGACCAGTATTTGTTTCACAATAGATGATGTGAAAAGAGTATGATTTTCATCTTTTGATATCAATCCATTCAATACTTGGTTGTGAAATTCTTTCGATCTATTATTAGGAAAAAGTGAAATATATGTTACGCATTTTATTTTTATGTACATTTTGTACCTAGTATAAGATTGCGGTGCCAATATGTAAAACATTTTTAAACACAAATATCTACACAAAAAGGCAAATTCAACCATAACCAGAGAAAGCATAACATATTGAACGTCACCTTTCCTTGTTGATCTTTCTTTTCATATTTTATAGACAGAAAGAGTAATGTCTTATGAAAAAAAAACAGTTAGGAAGATTTGGAGTTTGTGCATCGGCAGTAGTGGTAACTGCAAGCTACCTTCCCATTCACGCTTCCTAGCACTGACTTAAGCAGACATCAACATTTAAACATGAAAATGGTAAATTTGAAACTTTACTTTGCGGATGATTTTCACCATTTGCTTGTATAAATGTTGAATTCAACTTAAACCGGTGCTACGATATGGGAACGGTAGCCTGCACTTTCCAGTACCGTCCATTAACAGAGCCTGCAACATTTTCAATTTTGCCCTTTTTGGCGCTCTTTACGGATTCTTTTTTCTCTATTTTCTTAAACTGAACCTGCAATACCCCCAATTTATCCGTTTTTAAACGTTATTAAGGGATTCTGTATATTTGGATGATGTGCAAAAGTTCAAATCCCGAAAAATAGATAGCTCGTAGACCAAATTTGAAGTAGTACAATGAATATTAAACAGCTCTGTATGGCAGCCGTGAAAAGTTGCCTCGTACTTCACTTCAGTGTTTTCTGGTCCTTTAAGATAATTGAGTCCGGTAATTTTAAGTGTTGAATATCAATTACCGCTCAAGCTAGTGTTAGAGGACGTGAGGCATGTTGCACTTTTCATTATCCCTCATGTACAGACTCAATTAAACCGAGTCTGTAATTTTCAGTTTTAAATGCTTCCAATGGATCACATTTTTACCAGAAATTTACCATATGCTGGTACGGAAGTGTCATTTCGAAGGTTCTATGATAACCTCCGTATGAACACATCTGCGGATGTTCTAAATTCAAAATTTTGCGATTCCATGATGAAATGTTGAATTCTGCTTAAGCCGAAGCTACTGGGCGTGGATGGTAGTTTGCACTTCACAGTACCGTCCACGAACAGGCTCAATCAAACAGAGCAATCTTATTGTCACATTGATTGTGCCGTGTAGATCTGTAAAAAGTCACTTCAATCAGAGATGTTATATATCCGATCCTTAAAGATCGTTCAATACGACAGTACAGTGTGGTTCCAATATTCCTACTTGAATACTGTTATATCACCCTTAGGATATGTGGCCTGCTTTTTGGCGTCTTATCTGTGATTATCTGCAGATTTCATAACCTCTGTTCCCTTTTAAAATTCCATTTTGTTTACTTCCGCCGATTCTTTTCTCATTAAAAGGCACACGCTTTGACCATACGCCGCTTTTCATGCAATGGCACTAACGTGTCACAATGAAGGTCTCATGATAACCGCCGTATGAACACATCTGTGGATGTTTCTAAAATAAAACTACCATTTCATGTTTAACTGCTGAATTCTGCTTAAGCCGGTGCGAGGATGCGTGGACGGTAGTTTGTACTTGACAGTAGCGCACATTAACAGGCTCAGGCAAACCAAGTCTGCATTATTTTCAATTTTGCCGTTTTGGACATTCTCTAAGAGTTCTTATTTTGTCTATTTTACACCAACTAAATATTAAGAATACATATATAATTATATCAATCAAATATACAAGCTAATGACAATGTTTTTTCATATTAACATAATATTAGTTCCCATATGAAAAAAAACAATGAAAAATACCAATTGGTCAATGTCTATTTATTTAATCATATTAAAAACAGAGAAATTGCATAACATTACTCGGTTTTGAAATCCCTGATCCACTGCCACCCGTCTCTGTGCTTGTTGGTATCAATTGAACGTCAAGTCCGCTTTTATCAGTGCTATTATAAAGTATGAAATCTTTAGGTGTGGTAGAATGTGTGGAACTAGTGCTGACGTCATTCACAAATGGACTCTGTGTTGGTGCTAGTTCATTAATAGCGTTATATATTGCGGTAAGAAGAGGATATTTCCCGTTATTGCAGTAATGTCCGAGAAAATCGTCTTGATCCAGTGTCCAAAACATGACACCGGCAATACCCCGACTGTAAGCAAACTTCACCTGAAATTAGGCGTCATCGTTTATTACTTGAGGCAATTTTGAATACAATCTTGTAACCATTAAGGTGCGTAAAGCTATGAAATAATCTGTTGACTTCGTGAATTTATTTATATTTCCATACTATTGTGGAACAATTAATTATATAAGATTGTAATATGTATCCATAAGTTACTTAAATTTTTAGTCTAGGCTGAGCAAACATTATGTCTTTTCATTTAATGATTGTTTCAGTCATACTGTTTTCAGCCGTGCAATTATAAACTTTACACCATGTCGCAACACCATCACGACAGAACGACAAATTGAGTGAGTTTATCAATAATACATTTATTAAATTTTCTTCCAAACACGATCATTTATATCATCCGAAGCGATCATACATACTTTTTCTTTCATACTTTTAGGATTACTATACCCAACCCACTGGTCTTCTAAATATGCGTACGCCGTCTTTTGTTCATCGTCCCATCGATGAATTGCTCCATTCTTTATCATTTCACACACCTTCAATTTATAAAAAGGTTGATGTTCTACATTTTTAAAATGAAAAAAAAATATTATCACGGACTTCGCTTAAAGAAATATCATATTGAATATAGAATCGTGAAATTATGCTGCATTTACCGCCTGACACGATATGTATATATCAACAACTTTGTAAAGCATTGAAGATTACATTGTTTCGTTATGTTCATTAGCACTGTCTACTTATCTATCCGGAACTATGAATATCATCTCATTGTTATGTATTTGATGAGATTTGTTTCCAATGGTTTATTTATAGAAAGTGTACATAGTAATTTAAAGAGTTCATCAAAGATTCCCTACGTATTGCTTAATTAAACTTTTTCTGTACAACAATACAATTATTTAAAACAAACATTCCATTCTTGAAAAAGAATATCAAGATCAAAACCCAATAAAACTTTCAAATTGCATCACTTTGTAGAAATAATAACAAAGATTGTATGTTTTCTGATAAACTTAAGTACCCTATAATAGGTCACATGTCCATTACTGCCTAGGTATGGCCCTTTGTTCCCTGGACCATCAACCGGGGAGCCCACATCGGTAACGGTTCTATTACGGAGAGTAAATGATGTGGCTGTGCTTGTAAGACCCATTATCAGCTTGTTACATGGAGCACCTCCTGATATCCATCTGTCTACTGCCCACGCCTGAAAAATCATATATGAACATAGATATTGCTTATATTTTTTCAAAATAACATGCCACCTTAATTTAATTTAAACAATATTATATTTATATTTTATAATCATTTCATTTACATGATAATTGACAAATTATAAAATGTACGGATTGAGTTGGAAACTTGAAAAGCTTTTTTAGAAACTCTCTCCGTAAGCACTATCTCAAAGAGTATATAAAAATGGTAACAATTGTATATGCATTTTTGTTTTAACCTTTCACCCCATGAGCATATTGTGAAAAATGGCCGTTTTCATTTAAAAGCCTCCTGTTACAAGTTCAAACTGCTATAAATCTATGAAAAATGCTTCAATACTAATGAAACTTGGCACATATGCTAACTGAACGAACCATAACCTCTGTAACAACATGATCAATCTTAAAATTCCTGTTACCATGTCAAAGGGGGGCGTCTCAAAATTGCGAAAAAGCACTATTTTGCTTTGTTTTTTTCATCAAAACTGATTTCAAAGCACTGCAACTCCTCAATGCAATGAGACAGAGTAAAAGGTTTTTCAGCGTTGGTTTCACGGCACCATAAGATCGACCTGAGGCCATTTTTAGCCTGTCACATGTCCAAAATGTTCTTGGCGATGAGTGGGACTACCGCCCCCCCCCCCCTTCAAATCCTCCAAACTGAAGGGGGCACATCTCCCTTCTGGCAACCCCTGATGTATCATTTTGATTGGGGCCGCGCCGAAAAAAGGTCACTTTTTAACAACATATCTCAAACGAAAAACAGTGTTTTGGGCCTAAATAGGACATTTGTTTACTGTTAGAGGCCTCAAAATAGTGGGGGGGGGGGGGGACAAAAAGCCGTCAAAACACGCTTATATAAGGGAAAGGTTAAAGAGGCATATCATTTTCACTATAAACTTGCTTCTTTACATGTACAAGAAAGTTAGCTATTTGCTCTCTGGTTTTCCTAATCGAACCGACCTTAATAGTAAAGTATAGAAAACCCCTATAGCTCTATAGCATAAATACACGTAAGTGATAAATGCACAAATTAGCAAAAAATAATTAATTTATCTTAATCACTAATGAAATATTGGATATAAGTATATGTGTGTAAACTTAGAGAAACGAAAACACTTCATCACCGTGTCAACATCAAGCTGCCATTTAATCAAACTCATCGCTAAAAGGTACAACTTCGTCATCAACACGGTTGTATAAATCAACAACCACGTCACGTTTGTGACTCTACCTACAATGTGTATGCGTCGTCCTAACAAACAGGTTAGTATATCGTTGCCTTGTTCCACATTGTTGTTTTGTTTGTAGCTAAACATTGTGCTGTTGTCGATGATAGAAATTTTGGCAATGAATGATCATTTTAGGTATTTTTTATGAATTTATTTATATTTCCATATTATTGTTGAACGATTAATTATATAAGATTGTAATGTGTATCCATAAGTTACTTAAATTATTAGTCTAGGCTAAGCAAACATTACGTCTCGCTTCATTTAATGATTGTTTTAGTCATTCTGTTTTCAGCCATGCAATAATAAACTTTACACCATGTAGCAACACCATCACGACAGAACGACAAATTGAGTGAGTTTATCAATAATACATTTATTAAATTGTCTTCCAAACACGATCATTTTTATCATCTGAATCGATCATACGAATTTTTTGTTGTTTTTTTTTGTGTCGGCACAACAACATTTGAAGTACAATGTATTTGAATCATCTTAGGGGGCCAGAAATTATATCACAAAACTGGTAAGCAGAAAATACACTGTGCTTGAATTATAACTACAATATCAGAACTTACTTGACTAAGTTGTTGGTTGAATCTGAGATTTGATATTCGTGAAAAAAGTGGTGCAGTGAAACTTGTAACATCACTCCAAGGTCCATGAAAATCAAACGCCATTATTTGTATATAGTCAACATCCCTAAATACAAATGAGAAAAATGAGAAAAAATGAGAATAAAGACCAACAAGGCAAATCAACGTTCATAGAACACAGAACTCGACACAATCCAGTCACACCAGTAGGGCTCCAAGAAGGCACCGATCTAATAATTGGGAGAAGACACAAGGGCGGTGACAGGAGGGGGGCATGTAATTAATTAGTGAAATGATTAGAACTAAAAGGCCCCAATAAGGGAATTGAAGGGACAAGGGGTGTAAGGGAACAATAAGTGGTAAAGGGGGTGGGGGAAAGGCACAAAACGGGATAAAAGGGGGAATGGGAAGAATATACTTACCGTTAATGATGTTTTAACAATGTAGCACATCAAAAACGTGCAAACATTTTAAACATTTAACAACTCACAAAACATCCATGTGAAGGAACATAAAGAGGTACAGCCTTCGAACGGTCAGTAGTAATAAAACTAGAAAACTCGTATGAAAGAAAATTACACCACTTTACAATTTTATTTCAAATGTACACGAGATGAGCTTTATATATAATCATTGAGGAAACGACCATGCGGGTTATGTGGTCTTTATATCATTAAATCTTTTCTTATAAGCAGGGGTATCCAACAGCAGCTATAAAACAGTTTACCTGGATATTGAGGAAATGTTGTATGAACTGGTAATAGTTTCTTCTCCGACAGCAACAGCAATAGAGATGAGCAATCGTTTTTTACTCGTGCGAACTGCTTCTTGTTCAAACTCATGCCTCATAATCTGAAGAAAAGAATATTCACAATATGAAAAGAAAGGCATATAAATTATGATAACTTGTTAATTGTCGGTTAAATCCTGTTAATTGGATTGCACATATTTTTAAAACGTTTTCATTGGTCATAAAATAGTATATACATGTATAATAAATGTTACAAGTAAAATCAGGGGTATGTCTCGCATAATTACCCAATAACTTAAATAACCCTAAGTATGGTTAAGTCAGTTCTCTTCACTGTCATTTATGTCACTTTGCTGTCATTCAATGCGCAACTATTTGTGCTTGTGAACAAATTGCATGTTCACTTAAAAAGTGTAATAAGGATAATTTAAGATATACAGTGCCATAAGGTAATATCCGTGTCCAACATAAGGTACAGATATATGTTAAATATATCTATCTACTTAACCTACATGTAGATGTTTTTATTCGTTTTACTTCGTTTTTCTTCCTTTAAATGCAAACAATTATTAGAGTAATAAGAGAGAATAAATTGTTTTATGGGGACAAAGAGGACACAATTATCGTTTCGAAGAAAGGAATACACAAAAACCAGTCTGGATTTTCAAACAATCCAAAATTGTATCATTACACAGATTAAACTAGCATCTGAAAATGTAAATGATGCGATACAGGAATTTAAAAACAGACAAATAAATTACAGTATGTAGATCGGTTTTAAATATAGCTGCAAAAGTCATGGAAGATAGATGGATACTCTAATTAAGTCCTGGCTTAAATGAAAAACATTTTCAAATAACTTTTTGACACGTGTTTTGCCTTAATAAGGAAGAATGTTACATTTCTATGTCGTAGTCTTCGGGTGTGCATCTTTAAGCTATGATAATAAAATATTATAGACGACAAAGTATTTTTAGTATGGTGAGTTACATCACAATAGTGTTTGAAATTATTTATTGTCCAATAGGATTGCAATGTTTCAAATTAATCGTAACACATTGACTGTTTATAAAAAATAATTTAAAGCACTTAGTCGGTTAACTTCTATAAGTACGTATTTACAAAATTAAATGGTCGCGCGACTTAAACTTCTACAAAAACATGACATTAAACGCCTAATTTATTTAATTTCTTGCGACAAACTATAGTCTATGACAATTTTATTAAGTCGTTCTTTATTAAGGATGTACCCACGTGCTAGTAAAGTAAACAGGCACAAATGATAAGCTATCATTTGTGTTATTAACAAGATATAGGTTAGTATAGGTTAGTGTTCATTAGTAAGTATTTACAAAATTAAATTGGTCAAAAGCTATATTCTATGACGTAAGTCCGGTTATGTTTTACTGTTTTATTTGATGTATTGTATATAACATGATTAGAATGAGACGATCAACTAAATAAATTGCCAATCAATGTTAAGATTGAACGTTTAGTTGTATTTCATAAAGATACGCCTCGGGTAACAGTATTTTCCTCGGGATGATATATTTACTATAACCCACAAACCTTTGTGTTATTTATATACTATTATATGAAAATACCTTTAGTAATTGTGTGAATTTGTTTCGGTATATATCATCCGGCCACTCCCAATCGATAACGATACCATCGAAATCACGATCCCTCAGATATATCGCTACATTTCTAGAGAATAATTTCATCGTCTCTGGTGAACGAACAATTGACGCAAATCCACCATTTCCGGCATTGGCACCGCCTATTGATAAAAGTGTCACTAAGTTCGGGTGTTCTATCTTCAGCTTATTAAAGTCGAAATATCTTCCTTTCTTGTTGACAAGTTGACCATTGTCGTCATCATTTTGGGACGGAGTAAGTCTAACATTTGATGCGTCAATTTTTGCGAAAGCGTAGATAAGATGTGAACACAGCGTTACATTGATGTCCCGGATGTCAAATCTGGCGTCAAATGACGCAAACTTGTTTGACCAGTTAGTAAAATAACAAAAGTTCTTCAACGTGGACTCTAAAAATGTAAAAGACAAACTTTGTAAAAAAATTGGCAATAAGAGCAATGATTGTTAAATAATCACGAAGCGGATTATAGCATGTGAAATTTCGATGATAAGTGTTAGCCATTCCTACAATATTTGTCAGAATAGATAATGTGGAAAGAGCATATTTTTGTCATTTGATATCAATCCATTTAATAACTGATTGTAAAATTCATTCGACTTAATATTAGATAAGTAAAAGTGAAATAAATGTTGCGTATTTTACTTTGTATGTACATTGTGTACCAAGTATAAGTTTGCGATGTCAATATGTAAAACATTTGTTAACACAAAGTTCAATAAATTTAACCATTACCCTAGAAAGCACAACACTTGATTAAGTCTTATAGACAAGAAAAGTATAACGTATTATGAAAGTAAACTAGATAGGAACATTTGGAGTTTGAAACGACACAATTGTGCAGCTTTGGTCTAATGGGAAGATACTGTCTCGGAGACTTTTCTACAGAAAGGAGAGAAACAGAATCCCTAAAAAGAAACAACAAAATGGCAAAATTGAAATGCTGCAGGCTCGTTTTGATTGAGTATTTGCATGGGCGGTTGTGATAATAAAACCGAGTCTGCAACAGTTTTAATTTTGCCCCTTCATGCGTTCTTTACGGATTCCATTTTCTCTATTCTACTGAATACACAATTATCAAAAATATCCAATACTGAAAATTTAGCTCTGTTGGCTGTTTAACACAGAGATAATGATAAGTTATATATTTTGCAGTAACACTTGGTAGTATGTTTCAATATTGTATGTTATCTATATTTGACGGTAGATAACAATTATCAATACTGTCCGTTAACTGGCTCAATCAAGCGGAACCTGCAATATCTTCAATTTTGCCGTTTTCAAATTTGAATTAGTACAATGAATATTAAACAGTTTTTACTCCGACTAAATATTTAGAATAAAGATATAATTATATCTATCAAATATCAAGCTAAATGACAGAACGATGTTTTTAGTGTTTTTACACATTTACATAATATTTGTTCTCATATGAAAATACCAATAAAATATTTAATTCTTTGCCCAATTGATCATGTCTATTTATTAAACCATATTGAAAACACAGAAATATAACAAGTACAAATGTTGCTGCAATGCAGCAATTGAGAAGCTCCGCGCAAAAAATACGCTCATTACAGATACCTTACCAAATTATTCCTACGCACAGGTCATGTTATATTCAGATTAAGTACTATTGTAGATTTTTTCCGAATGTTTTGTAAACCATTTTTTGCATAATTATACTTATCTTATGCACTGTCCATAATTCAAAAGAGGGGTAAGATATTTAATATAAAAATGCCTTCATTGATGCCTACCTGGTAAGGAAAGTAATTCCATTGAATACAAACAAAACTTACAAGATTTGTAAATGTTATGTGACATGACTGTACTATGTTCTGTTTGTGTCACTACTGTAGTCAGTAACATAAGATGATAAAAATATCAAAGTCTGTTGTTTTTAGCTCACCTGTCACAAAGTGACAGGGTGAGCTTTTGTGATCGCTTTTCGTCCGGCGTCCGTCCGTCCGTCCGTCGTCCGTAAACTTTTACTTTAAATGACATCTCCTCATAAACCACTTAGCCAATTTCATCCAAACTTCACAGGAATGTTCCTTTGGTGGTCACCTTTAAAAATTGTTCAAAGAATTTAATTCCATGCAGAACTCTGGTTGCCATGGCAACCGAAAAAAAAACTTTAAATATCTTCTTTTAAAAAGCCGTAAGAGCTAGAGCTTAGATATTTAACATGAAACATCTTCTAGTAAGTGTCTACAAAGTTTGTTCAAATTAAAGACCTGGGGTCAAAATTGGCCCCGCCCCGGGGGGTCATTGATTTTCCCTATATACATATAGTAAAAATTTTAAAAATCTTCTTTTAAAGAACCAAAAGAGCTACAGCTAAGATATTTAGCATGAAACATGTTCTAATGGGTGTCTACCAAGTTTGTTCATATAAAAGCCCTGGGGTCAAAATTGGCCCAGCCCCGTGGGGTCATTGATTTTCCTTATATGCATATAGTAAAAATTTAAAAAATCTTCTTTTAAAGAACTCAAAGAGCTATGGCTAAGATATTTAGCATCAAACATGTTCTAATAGGTGTCTACCAAGTTTGTTCAAATAAAAGCCCAGGGGTCAAAATTGGCCCCGCCCCGGGGGGGTCATTGATTTTCCCTATATGCATATAGTAAAAACTTAAAAAATCTTCTTTTAAAGAACCAAAAGAGTTAAAGCTAAGATATTTAGCATGAAACATGTTCTAATAAGTGTCTACCAAGTTTGTTCAAATAAAAGCCCTTGGGTCAAAATTGGCCCCGCCCCGGGGGGTCATTGATTTTCCCTATATACATATAGTAAAAACGTATAAAATTTTCTTTTAAAAAACCATAAGAGCTAGAGCTTAGATATTTGGCATGAAACATCTTCTAGTGAGTGTCTACCAAGTTTGTTCAAATAAAAGCCCTGGGGTCAAAATTGGCCCCGCCCCGGGGGGTCATTGATTTTCCCAATATGCATATAGTAAAAACTTAAAAAATCTTCTTTCAAAGAAGTCAAAGAGCTATGGCTATGATATTGAGCATCAAACATGTTCTAATAGGTGTCTACCAAGTTTGTTCAAATAAAAGCCCTGGGGTCAAAATTGGCCCCACCCCAGGGGGTCATTGATTTTCCCTATATACATATAGTAAAAACTTAAGAAATCTTCTTTTTAAGAACCAAAAGAGTTAAAGCTAAGATATTTAGCATGAAACATGTTCTAATAAGTGTCTACCAAGTTTGTTCAAATAAAAGCCCTGGGGTCAAAATTGGCCCCGCCCCGGGGGATCATTGATTTTCGCTATATGCATATATAGTAAAAACTTAAAAAATCTTCTTTTAAAGAACTCAAAGAGCTATGGCTAAGATATTTAGCATCAAACATGTTCTAATAGGTGTCTACCAAGTTTGTTCAAATAAAAGTCCTGGGGTCAAAATTGGCACCGCCCCGGGGGTCATTGATTTTCCTTATATGTGTATAGCAAAAACTTAAAAAAATTTCTTTGAAAAAACCCAAATAGCTAGAGTTAAGATATTAAGCATGAAACATCTTTTAGTGAGTGTCTACAAAGTTTGTTCAAATAAAAGTCCTGGGGTCAAAATTGGCCCCGCCTCGGGGGTCATTGATTTTCTTTATATGTGTATAGCAAAAACTTAAAAATCTTCTTTGAAAAAACCCAAATAGCTAGAGTTTAGATATTAAGCATGAAACATCTTCTAGTAAGTGTCTACAAAGTTTGTTCAAATAAAAGCCCTGGGGTCAAAACTGGTCTGGCCCCAGGGGTGTCATTGTTTTTAACTATATGTGTATAGTAAAAACTTTAAAAAAATCTTCTTTCAAAGAGCCCAATTGGCCCTGCAACGTTGGGGGGAGGGGGTTGGGGGGCCTATATACAGGTGAGCGACCTCAGGGCCATCATTGCCCTCTTGTTTTATTATTATAATTGTAACAAATATACAAATAGTAACAAAAGGGACTAATATTATAATATACTAATATAACATGCATTTTTTCATGTCAAATAAAAAAAATGGTTTCTTTCAATACTGAAAGTAGAACACACTCTGGAATGAAAAAAAAATGGGATGAATTGCAAAAAGACCAAATTCAGGAATTTTTTGTTTGTTATACACGCGTTAAATGGTGATACATTATTTATTAATATAATAGAAGACTGTTAGGTATAAGGAAATTCACAAACATCATGTTCGTGCGAGTCAAAGATATAGAAGCTATTTGACATTGGTGATATATATAAAAAATCTTTTGTTAATTGATTTATTTAGAGATCAGTATACTTTATTGCTGAATTGCTTTAAAACAATTCATAAAAAAACATTACATTTCATGTTCAAAATGCAGATCAAATCAATGATGCTATCTATCTATAGCCTATGCTTAATGAGGGCCCATCCGCTCGTAAGGCCACACAATACAGGTTTTGCTGTGGCATACCCTTCGCAGGATGAGCTATTTTTTACGGACGCGGACAGTCACGGACAGGTCGCGTCACGACAAAATGCCTCGAACAAAAGTAAGTACTTTATCGATTTCGAAAGAAAATACTAAAAAGCTCACCAAAATAGTGTTGGAGAACCCATAAGTTTATGATGCACCAATGACAGATTAAAACAACAACATCTGGTCTTCGGTTGCTAAAGAGATGTTATTCAAAAACCTAACTGGTATTCAATCTTTTTCCTTTTTCTTTTTACCTAATTCTTTGATGTTACAACTGGTTTTGGTATTTGAATGAAATTATATCATTTCTACAAATAATTATCCTCTGTTAGCTATACTATAAGAAAATAACGTACAGTAACATGCCATAAGTATTGGTTAAAATGGCGGCCATATTGGATTCAATTGAGCATGTCTGTAGGATTAGTTTCCCTTTGATCACATGCTGCCAATCAATGTTGACGTAAATACCACAGATATTAATAGCACAGCCATGCTTTTAGGTGTGATGTCATTTATGATGTCATCAATCACTGTGTTGTAGCATTCTTTGTGTAAACAATGTAATGGGTAGGAAAGGTCAAGAATTGTCACCAGATAAGAAGAATATTATTGTTGATTTGCATTTAAAAGGATTTAGACCTAGTAAAATATGTGAGACATTGGATATACCTTATAGTACGGTATTTAATATTTTGAAAAAATTTAAATCATCTGGTTCTGTGGAAAATAAATCAAGAAGTGGCAGACCTGCATTACTGACTGGGAGGGGTTATCGCGTTTTAGAAAGACTTGTGAAAAAGAACAGGAGAAACTCATTATGTGAAATCACATGCAAATTTAATGAAAATGCTGTGAATCAAGTATCCAAGAGGACAGTCCAGCGTCATTTACACAAACACAACTTTAAAAGGAGGGTTTTAAGGAAGAGAGTGGTGGTAACAGTTAAAAATAGGAAAAAGAGGTTGTCATGGTGTTTACAGAAGAGGTGGTGGACTGTTGAGAGACAGTGGAAGAATGTTATATTCTCTGATGAGAGCCAGGTTGTTGTAGGTGGTGATAATAGAGTGTATGTCTGGAGAAAACAGAGTGAAGGATACAGACTGGACCTCATTCCATCAACTAAAAATAGAAAGTTCTCTGTTATGATATGGGGGTGTATATGTTGGGAGGGTGTTGGAACTGTTACACGTGTTGAAGGTAATATTGATTCACAGAAATACATCAGCATACTTGATGCTAACTTGTGGCCAGTTTTAGTCAGACATTTCCAGGAGATAATTATTTATTTCAGCAGGACAATGCTCCGGTTCATACTTCACGGGCAACCAGTGATTTCATAGCTCAAAGTCATATAAAAACTATGTCATGGCCTGCCCAGTCACCAGATTTGAATATCATTGAAAATATTTGGTTGTTTATAAAAAGAAAATTGACAAATAGACTTATAGCCTATCGATTACTTCTGAGGGTGATCTTTTCAATCATATTGAAGACATTTGGACCAGCATTTCACCTGAGCACATTCAGAGTTTGTATAAGAGCATTCCGAGAAGAATTTATTAGATTATAAGAAGTTATTAGATTAAAAGGACATCTAACAAAGTATTAAGGTAAGGATTGTCAAAAAATTATGGAGAAAGTTGATTTAGTTGTTGCTGTTTTTCAATTTTTAAAATCACCATTTACGGTGAAAATCCAATATGGCCGCCATTTTAACCAATACTTATGGCATGTTACTGTACATATGGAATAATAATCACGGACGCGGGTATTCCATTGAAATAGCGCCCTAATGATTTATTTTTGAAGCACAAAGTGGTGTGCTGTATCACTGTCGCCAATGAAATGTAACTTTATATACTAAAGTTTAATTATTTCAAAACAACCAATATATCAACATGTTATTACCAAACATTTAATTTCATTAATATAAATTAAGAATAATTATCAAAAGCAAAAATATTAAAGTTTTATTCATGAAATCTTTTTTATATTGACAAATTCAACCATTAATAGTATACTTGATATGCTGTGTGTAAATTAATTCAAAATGTAACACATTATAATTTCATGTACTATTAAAAAAGGGAAATAACAAATGTATAACCTAAGTGTCAAAAATCAGAACATTTAGAGCTATTTATAGCTTTCAAATTCATGTACAGCAGAACTGCTTACCTTTTCTGATTCATTAATATAGGATTAACGCACGTTTTTCCGTGTTATAACGTCTGCAGAGTCCCGAGGAACGGTTGGTGCCCGAGCCCGGTAGGGCGAGGGCTCCAACAGTTCTGAGGGACTCTGCAGACTTTATAACACGAAATAAACGTGCGTTGACGCTATTATAGCATAAAATTTTAAAACAGATTCATGATGTATATTTAATACAAAACACAATACATTAAATCCTTGTGCTTGGACGGTATTTATCCAATTCTACATGTTTTACGTATGCGTTTTATTTTTCCGGGGCCAACAACGAACCGAACGAAATTTTGAATTTTAATTGATATTGTAAAGCTTGACATTGGAGAAATATTATCTCAAGGAAAAAAAAACAACAACGTTACATTACTCTTCCCAATACAAAACATGACCCTCAGAAATTCTTAGAATGATTTCAGATTGACGGTAGAAAAAAGATCAGTGACGTCATCAGAATCGGGTTTTTTCAAGCACACAAGTTTATAAAAAAAATCAGGCACTAAACATTAATCTCTCAAAGAAATATAAAGAGCATTTATCAACATAAGCATCAATAAAACAACATGTTCTCATATTCGTTTTGTGTTATCTTGTTTTGTAAGTTAATCGGAGGGTTAAACTGAATGCCAGTAATTTGTTTACATTGACAACTGTCCGTTTCTTAGAAAGGGCGACAACCAAGATTAGCAGCGATGTATATACGCCGTATTTCCGGCATAGTTACTTGAATGCTGCTCGCCGTATTTAATGCGATTGAGGCCCTCGAATCAATAATTTCAATATAACAAGAGCGCATGACTCTTTGGCAAACAGGCCAAATCGTCATTTTTTTTGTTTGTTTACTGGGCCCTGTATGTATTGCGCATAGGTGAAACCGGGCTATAACAAGAGCGCGTGACTATGTTAACACATGGTTTTGGTCCCGTTATAACATGGGCAAAATAGGGAAAAATAGCCGATTTTATGCTATAATATGACATGTTGCGAATCATCGAAGGGGAAACCAATATAGAAATCGAAAGGAGTTCTTGAATGCGAATTTACTTTTAGCTGTAAATCGAAGGGATTAAATGATCAAATCCGGGCCCATGGACAAAAAAAATAGTAAACATACTCGGTTTTGGAATCCCTGGTCCACTACCTGTTGCTGTGCTCGTTGGTATCAATTGAACGTCAAGTCCGCTTTTATCAGTGCTAATATGAAGTCGGAAATCTTTAGGCGTTGTTGAATGTGTGGTACTCGTGCTGACGTCATCCACAAATGGACTCTGTGTTGGCGCCAAATCGTGTATAGCATTGTGTATTGCGGTAAGGAGAGGATATTCCCCGTCATTGCAGTAATACCCGAGAAAATCGTCTTGATCCAGTGTCCAAAACATAACACCGGCAATACCCCGACTGTAAGCAAACTTCACCTGAAATCAAGCGCCATTGTATGTCACTTCAAATATGATATAATTATTATCATGAGTTTAAGTTTCATACGAGTACCACAAAGCAGTTAGGTCAGTTTGGAATTGTATTGTTCTTTTGTACGCGTGAAATTTATTTCTATACATGAACATGTATAAGTATGATATCAGGAACGGTATGGAGTAACAAATCATAAAATATATTAGATTTTTATTAATTGTACAATAAACGTTGTTTGTGTCATCATGTCAATACTTCATTGTCTCATTTACTTCAATATTTCATGTTAAATGGTTTCTCCCATGTCATTATATCACTTTTGTCCTAGCAAGCCAAACGGCAATATGACGAGGACGACAATATTTGTCGTGTTGGTCGTATCAGTGTAGAAACACAAAATCAATAAATTCTGTCATAATTATTTGTTTGTGTTGTAGGTGATGCTACTGCTTTTTTCTGTTTTGTATTTCTATATGTTGAAGGTTTACTTATGCTTCAAAATATCGTATCGGTATATATTATAGTCATCTAAAACTGCTGAAGTTTCAGGGTTTGTTGATTTCAATGTGACAAGATTACTTTTAAAAATAACAAAATATAATGTTATCTGAAGCGACTGTACTTACTTTTTCTTTCATACTTTTGGGATTGCCATAACCAACCCATTGGTCATCTAAATATGCGTAGGCCATCTTTTGTTCGTCGTCCCAGCGATGTATCGCCCCATACTTTATCATTTCACACACCTTTGAATTATAAACAAAAGTTGCCGCTTTACATTGGAACAAATTAATATACAACCAGGGACACAAATAGATCTAGCACATTCCACATTTAAATGTATGTGCATGTACTTAATTCATTTTATCTTGTGATCATCTAGGCTATTACTTATTGCATGACCATCTAATATCGGCCTTTGAAGTTTGAATAAAAAAGTATAGAAAGTATACCCTATAATAGGTCACATGCCCTTCAACGCCTAGGTAGGGTCCTTTTTTCCCAGCACCATCCACCGGGGATCCAACATCATTTAGGGTTCTATTACTGAGTGCAAATGATATAGCCGTGCTTGTAAGACCCATGACCAGCTTGTTACGTGGAGCCCCTCCAGATATCCATCTGTCTACTGCCCACGCCTGCAATATATTGAACCATAGACCCTGCCGATACTGAATCTAGTAAAAAATGCATTGTTACAAAAAATGTACATAAATCTATAGGGAGAGCATTCTGGACCCACTACTTTACACTTCTATTGTGACTATATCCCACCGTCCCGTGTTTTTATGGTCATATGTTCGACTTGTCACAAGCAAAAAGAAAACAAGACTAACAACGCACGAGACGACGTTTAAAGGATGGTTATAACGGTGTGTTATAAATAGGTTATTTTTTCCAGCCAGGAGCAACCAATATGCTGATTTTCTTATCGTCAGTCCGACCTGTGTCAGCAAGCAAGGTTTTGTTCGCTATAGCTGGACTACAGTGTACGCACTTGTAAGTGATAGGGCGGTGGTCGCATAATAAAATTGATGCGTTTGAACCTGATGACGTGTGAGCTTTTGGATGGGTCTATTGTGTTGTCCTTTCCTCATATTAATAGATAAACTGGCAAATTTAGAGTGCTCGTGAGGTAATTAATGCGACATTAAAACGTTTTGTTTGTCACACGAGAAATAAACATTTGCGTGTCTGTTAAAGACCGTGCCACGATTAAGCAGCCTTAATTCTCCATGAGTTGAAATTTTCATAACTGTTGAGAGGGGGACTTCATATTTGATAAGTATTGTTAACCTACTATAATATAAGTGGCGGTATGGGTGAGTGGTTAACGCCTCGGTATAGTTATTTGATTTTCTCGTTAAAACTGTGAGTTTAAACCCATCAGGCGCGTTTCCTTGCAAAAGAAACTTTATACTTATTTCCCAGTACTGATTTGTTCGATGAACTGATTCTAGTGTGCGTCTGTAAGCTATAAGCTTCCTACACAATTGAACTAAAAACAGTACAATCACACCTTAATGGTGTTCTATCATAGACATTACCTGGCTAAGTTGCTGGTGAAATCCTGGATTCGATAAACGTGAAAAAAGTGGTGAACTGAAACTGGTAACATAACTCCAAGGTCCGTGAAAATCGTATGCCATTATTTGTATATAGTCGACATAGCTAAATAGAAAACCATTCATAATTATGAAAGAAAATCGAGTATCACTTGACAACTACATTTCAAACGAAACATAAAATGAGCATTGAATTGCTTCAATGATGACATTTCCATTACAAAACATTACCAATCAGACCGATGTATGTCGAGTGGTAATAAGGGTAGAAAAGAAAAATGCCAATACGAATATAATTGACCTCCGTTTGTTACCCTGGTTTTTGTTTGTTACCCTGGTTTATGTATATAATCTGGGAAAGGGTGATCCCTTGAAGAAATAAAAACAACAATATTATATAAAAAATACAGAGTCGGTTTGATTGAGCATGTTCATAAGAGATACTGTTGTTCAAGTGCAACATCTCTCACGCCCCTAGCAACGGCTTAAGCGGTATTCAAACTTACACACAAATGTGTCTAACAATAAACCAAATAAGCAAGTTTATTAGGATGTAAAAGAGATTACCCAGATATTGAGGAAATGTTGTATGAACTGGTTATAACTTCTTCCCAGGCAGCAACGGTAATTGAGATGAGAAGGCGTTTTTTACTAGTTCGATTGGATTCCTTTTCAAACTCGCACCTCATTATCTGAATAAATAAATATTAACAGGGAGGCGGTAAAGCTTCTTATATTTTCTGTAATTTATTGAAAGACTGACGTTATTCTAATAATATATAAAACGAGTATCTTAAGTATTGGAAATAGGAAATATTGCATAAGCTTGAAATGATTTCTACCCAGGAAGCAACTGCGATAGAGAACAATAGGCAATTTTTGCTCGTTCGAAACAGTTTTTTTTTCAAATTCAAGCCTCGTCATTCTATGACACACGTTAGATAATTCTTTTTACAACATATTGTTTTAATTTAATGTTTTAATGCATAAATACAAAACCGTTTACTGTTTCATAATATTTTATAATAAGTTTATTTCTTAATTATTATGTGATATTTCTTCCTCATAATCACAGGGGGCCCACACAGTGTTTGGATGGTATATACTGCTTGATAGTGACCTTAAAATGAGATTTTAGTCATAACCTTATAATATGTATATAAATATAGACAAGGGGCATTACTCGGTAAATAGAGAATTTTCGATCACCTTCAAATTCATGCGAGATTTTCCACTAATTAAATAAAAAAAATCCAAAAGCTATACTGCGTTGCATAGCTTATATAATCCACAATTGATAAACACTAACTTTATTTTGATTCCCTTAGCCCATTTTAAGAAATTTATTCAAAACCGTTCACTTCTGTCACGAAATTGCTTAGTCGTACGAGATGTCGCAACACCAAATTCCACGGGTAAAATATCAATTTTAAAAGGGTGAGGTACAAATAAACGCATGCAAACAATAACACAACATAGTTTCTATTACCTACCTGCGCAAATAGTCTTGAAGCGCTCTATATTCGTCTGTTTCGAACGAAATCTTCAAATCAGTGCAGAAATCTGCTTCGGCGAATACATGTTGGAAATGCTGGCCATGGTGTATGGAAACCTTTCATTGGTTGTCGTTATAAACAAAGTTCCTACCGAACCAATGAAAGGTCTCGATACACCGGCTGGTCACGTGACCGGGGTTTCCCCAAGATGTCTACGTCGAAGCAGATTCTGCTCTGATTTGAAGATTTCGTTCGAAACAGACGAATATAGAGCGCTTCACGACTATTTGCGCAGGTAGGTAATAGAAACTATGTTGTGTAATTGTTTGCATGCGTTTATTTGTACCTCACCCTTTTAAAATTGATATTTTACCCGTGGAATTTGGTGTTGCGACATCTCGTACGACTAAGCAATTTTGTGACAGGAGTGAACGGTTTTGAATAAATTTCTTAAAATGGGCTAAGGGAATCAAAATAAAGTTAGTGTTTATCAATTGTGGATTATATAAGCTATGCAACGCAGTATAGTTTTTGGATTTTTTTATTCAATTAGTGGAAAATCTCGCATGAATTTGAAGGTGATCGAAAATTCTCTATTTACCGAGTAATGCCCCTTGTCTATATTTATATACATATTATAAGGTTATGACTAAAATCTCATTTTAAGGTCACTATCAAGCAGTATATACCATCCAAACACTGTGTGGGTCCCCTGTGCTCATAATAGGTGAAACTGTGTTGTGATAACGAGATATTTATCCTGTTTTTTATGAGATTATTTTCTCATTATTTGTAGCTCAAAACAATATTTTACTATCACAACAACACTTTTCGACTTTAGATGAAATACAAATTTATGTCATTCTTATTGACAGTTGTTTCTTGCTTTGAAATGAATATACACGATTATATAAACAAGTACTGTTTTTTAAGTCGCACCAACACAATAAAGGTCATGTGAGATTTTCAGTCGGGTAAACATCAGGTGCCCCTCAGTGCATTATTTCAGACACGAGCGGGAACCTGAGTAGAACCACCGACATAAAGTCCATGGCGGAAAATGAACCTACAGGGTGAGTGGCAAGTGGTTTGAAGTCAACAATCTTAACCACTCGGCCACGGACGCATCTAAAATTAATATGGAAATGACAATATATATAGGAATATAACATAGATCTTTGGTTGAGCTATGTTGGTCCCCTCCTTTGAACTTAGATAATATTGTAAACTGTTAAGTCGCACTTGCTAAACGCATTCTTTTGAACAATTCTACCAATGGTAAAATGTAGGACACACGCTTAAGATTTTAATATTTCAATAAGCTTGCACCAGATTTTTCAATAATATGATAATCTGAAGAAAAAAAGCTGATCTTAGGCGAGTGATTGGAATATACATGTATATGCGTATGATAATAAAGATGCACGAACAGAAATAAATCTAAAAAACTACATGTATTTTGTGTGATTTTCTTACGCCCTGTTTCAGTTAGAAGCATTTAAACACCTTTAGATGAGTTATTATGCGCAATTCGGGAAACAGATAAACCGTTTGATCTGAAATGTTTCAAACAAGTTTTTAGCCGAGACCAAACTCAAATGGTATTTTTAATCCGGAATAATAGTTAAAGTACGTCCTATTATGTCAAAAACATAGGTAATTGTGCCCTTTTAAAACAGAGCGAATACGATGGCTCTATGTAGTTGTCAAACATTAATTATTGTCGTTTCTTTTAAACACTGATCTGCCGCAGTAATAATGTACCGACAATAATGCATGTTTGCATGTTATTTATGACGTTCATATAGCACATTTATTTACGTGTTCTTGTGGTAAAAATAGTTTTGAACGAAAAGTTATGTTAATTCCAATGTAAGTTTCTTAAATCGTATCTGTTTACCATTAATATTATTTTTGTCATAGAATGTATATGTTGCTACAAAAAATGTAACCTTGACTTAATATTGAAATATTGATTGTAGAAATATTGCTTAATTAATACTTTTCACATGAGTCGTGTTTGGGTAGCCCTTACCTAGTTCAAAACTCGACGTTTGATATAAATTATTCCAGTATTTCATATACTAACTTATTTTTCCTTTTAGTCTATTTATTTTCACATCATTGATTAATTTCGACTTTATATGATGATACTAGACATTTATCTATAATTAAAGCATCGATATTTTACATGCAAATTATATGATATATATAACATACATGTATTTTTTACAAGCATGTTTAGTATAAGTGTATATCATATATATATTACCTCCAGCAATGTGGTGTATTTGTTTCGATATGTATCGCCCGGCCACTCCCAATCGATATCGATACCATCGAAATCACGATCCCTCAGATATATCGCTACATTTCTGGAGAATAATTTCATCGTTTCCGGTGAACGAACAATTGATACAAATCCACCACTTCCGGCCCAGGCACCACCTATTGATAAAAGTGTCACTAAGTTCGGGTGTTCTATCTTCAGCTTATTAAAGTCGAAATATCTTCCTTTCTTGTTGACAAGTTGACCATTGTCGTCATCATTTTGGGTCGGAGAAAGTCTAACATTTGATGCGTCAATTTTTGCGAAAGCGTAGATAAGATGTGAACACAGCGTTACATTGATGTCCCGGATGTCAAATCTAGCGTCAAATGACGCCAACTTGTTGGACCAGTTAGTGAAATAACAAAAGTTCATTAACTTGGACGACACTGAAAGCAGTAAAGACAAAACGATAATGTTGATTTTCATAAATTTTACTATATTCGATTGTGAAAATATAATATATAGATGTATACAAACCTGTTCTTGTCTCGGTGAATAAGAGTACTACGGTCAACAGATAGAATGATACAATTCCGTTCATATTATCTGTGTTTATTGTGACATTAAATTGAGTCTGAACAGAGATGATAATGTTTGAGCAATGAATGATATCGTAAATGAAATGTTTTTGAGATTACTGCGTCGCTGTTTAAGCAACTATCAGATAGTGGGTCGGTCACAAACAGCAAATCATAGCATAATGGTATCTGCTTCCTTTAACTTCACGATTGCTGCCCTGGCTGTTAAGTGTTAAATGTTTACCATGTACATGTATATCATCTCGGCGTTGTTCTTTTTTTCTGGTCGTTTCATTATTTTAATTGTTGAGGATTTGATACAGAATAAGCCGGTGCTATAGGGGCTTGAGAGGTGTTACACTATCTATAGTCTCTCATGGGCAGCTCTAAAATGCCATCCCGTTGTTCCGTCAAAATTAGCAGCAGATACCAAAGTAATCTGACCACTGCACATTTTCACTTGTGACCGCCTCCCTGAGCGTTAAGCATTGTGTGATATCTGTAATAAATTGCCTCGTACTTAAATGTTGCGCTGTTTTATTTTTCTGGTCATTCAGGATCAGTGATTGCTGAAAATTAAGCCGGTGATAGGGAAGTGAGTGTTGCATTATCCATTGTACCCCATGATCATACTAAATAAAAGTGCGTTTGCGATTTTCATCTATCTGATTTTGTCTCCATTGCTCTCGAAGGATCTCGCTTTTTGAGAATTGCGATATACATAATATTCAGTAATAAAATAAATATAGGAACAAAGCATGTTTTGTATTGCATACAAAATATGTCTTATAGTCTCCGCGGCCGAGTGGTTAAATGTCGTTGACTTCACACCACTGTGGGTTCGAATCCCGTCAGGAACTTCAAATCGATCCTTTCATGTGAATAAACCATCCAACTCTTACGGAATATAACGTAGGTGGTTCTTCTCACGTGCCCGTTTGCAAGGTCTTCTTACATCAGTAAAGCTAGAAGTAGCCATATGATCTTTGCGACGTTTGTCCTGTATAATTAGAAACTTATTTACTTACTTAATTAATATTCTAATTAGACAAGAAGAATTGCGACTTGCACGTAAAACATATTATAACGTATTTTTTAACTTCATCTTAAGTAACTTAAGTATCAACCATTTATACTTGTAGTTTGGTGAGGATGAATATCAACAAGGATATCTTTTTGTTTTCTACATCATTATCTATGGGACAGGTGTAAATATCAACGTTGTCAGGTGAAGTACACTTTGATAATGTCTCTTTCAACGAATGAGTTGTTTTCAAGGAAGTAGAGCCCGTTTCTACTAATATGTTATAAACTGTTGCGAAGTAGTGAAACCCGGAACATTTTATTATTTATGTGCAATACGATGGGTATTTTAAGGTAGACCCAAAGAGGTACGGCTCATTGAAAGTTCACAAAGTATGTGTTTTCTCCAAAAAATCGCAATATCGGCCGGCGTCCGTCCGGCGGCAGTGACTATCGGACGGCAGCAGCTGAAAATTTTGCTCATCGGGCGGGCGCCTTCGAGTTTTAAGTAATACTTAAAAGCTAACGGCGGCCGGACGATAATTTTTGGGGTCACTGAGTATAAATATAATCGAGCGGACATCGTTCGGTCGCCGGGCGGCGACCGGGCGATGATTTTTTTGATCGGGCGATTTTTTTTTCTACTAAAACAGCGTCCGATTTAAAGGCGCCCGGGCGGACATCGGCCGGGCCCCGCCCGGTGCCTGAATAGAGACAAGTAGTCAAACGATTATCGCCCGGTACCCGGACGATTCATGTACAGGCACCGGGCGGTCATCGTTTTGTCATCATCGGCGACCGGGGCTGCTTGTGTTTGTTGTTGTAATTTCAGCTTGAAGAAGTTGTAATTGCCTCAAAAATATATTTGTGAATTTCTTTTTGAATAATAGTAAACATGAATTTTTTCTTGAATGTCCATGCGAATGTCTGATTGATTTTCGCCTTCTACGGCCTCGATACTGGCCGTTGGTGACTCGTTGTCAACAACACGGACCAACTCATTGGCCTTCCCCTTGGGTTTGGCAGCTGACTTCTTTGCTGGCATAATTACAACTGGCTGATTTATCTAGGATGTTATTAAATGTAAAGTCATTGTCGCCCGGCGCCCGCGCGGCAACCGTCCGATTCACTTTTAAATCGCACAGGCGCCGTACGGACATCGGCGGCGACCGCCTGATCCGAATAATTCTTTCTGTAAAATCCACTCGGCAAAAATCGCCCGACGACTGTTTCATTCGTGACCACGCAAGGTATCAGATTTAAAATCGCCCGGCGTCCACGACATCAAAAAATCTGCCGATTTTATAAAAATCGTTTAATCGGACGGCGCCCGTTTTATTTGTGACCTAGGCTACGCGAGGTCGACATGGATCATGGCTACGCAGGAAACAAAAAGTTACACGAGTGAGATATTATCACAAGCATTTATCATGCTGAGTACTTAAAACTACATAAAAGTAATCAAAATATTCCAATAACCTAAAATGACAATGTGAAATAAAGTCACCTGCGGCTTCAGAGTATTTCCCCGTTGAAATTTCAATAAAAACTCCGCTATCTTGGTAAATATTGATCTGATAGATAGGTCGATTTATTTCCCGAAAATATACCCGTAAATTTCCGGGAAAAAACGACCAATCTGATGACGATTGTTTAGATATTCGCCAAAATATATGACTGTCGGACATGCTTTAAAGGGGGCAGGGGACCTAAAAATGAACAATTTTGGAGGGGCCCCGATAATGTTGTTATAACTTTTAACCCAACCCTTTTGTATATATATTATTGTATACTATTTTACATATAGTTTACCTTTAATTCCTTTAATTTTTTAAAACCTTATCTTGCAACTGAAATTCTATCAACATGATTAACCTAACATACATATAGCTCAAAATTACCTCGTCGTTTAAATAATACAAGACAACGAAAACATGCGCATACAAGGTGAATTTAGTTACATTACCATTTTGAGGTTTATTGTGGATATATGTCATTTATTTATTTGCAGACGCCAAATACTTTAAAAAAATCAAAACGTGGCTGTTGAAATTGAATTTAATTGTTTTTGTTTATGTACACACCCTTGTTTGTTTATTTAAATACTCATACTTAGAAAATATTTCATATATTTTTGGTCCGTTTGTCCAAGTGTAGTCATCCCGATTCACGTGTTTAATATTATCTATTATAATTGCTGAAATGTACTTACAAAAAATACATGTTTCTTACAAGTAGTTGTACAGTCACAAATAGATGCATCATCTTCAACAACGAAAATTTGAAAATTTAGGTTCAGTTTTAATATAAACTCAGGTGTCCGTTTGTGTCCGAAAAAGTGCACTTCCTCCACCAGTAAAATTGACCTATACTGTGTAAGTGTGACGTTAAACCTAACAAAAAGAAAGAAAACAAGAAGTATCATTAAAAAGATACTCGGCCGAAGTCAAACTTGTTAACTTGCACTACAATTCTCTACTAACCATGCTTACCGCAAACAGAACATTTTATTCGTCCTCAATGGTTTTTTTCCAGTTCATTTTTACCCGTAATGTTTTTCCCCAATAATTGTCATCTTAGATTTAAACAATATTACTTACATTATTTGATTTTAATCAAAATGGAATTTGATTTGAATAGGAATTTATAATAAAACAAAAATTTAGTAGATACTGTACACTAATTCCACGGAGAATTTTGTAACTGTAAATTAGTCGAAAGTTCGTTTCAATCTTCTTATGCCCGGTTCGAGAAGAGAATATAATGACTAGAACAGCTAAGAACAGAAATCCAATCGAACGCAAAACTATCAAAAAGGCGAACTGCCATATTTTATTTCATATATTTATTGAAAAGTTGTTAGAAACATCTAGAAAATATCATTATTATGTTTTTATATTTATTCTGACTTATATTTTTTCCAACATTTCTTGCGATCGCACAATCGAACAGACCTCTACCTTTAACGGAAGCTCTTCTAAAGTACGTGTATCAGTCGAACCGGTTATTAGTGTAAAAATGACCAATGAAAATTCTGCCTATATTCATTTCTTTACTATCAATTTTAGCGGAAGTCAAGATGAAATCAGACGGCCTTCGGCCGAAAAACAAAATAAACACAGTCACGTTTACCTATAAAATAAAAACGTTATTACCATTACGGGAAAGCCATTGCTAATAACATTGCATCAAAATTTGTAAGGTATCTTTTATCACTGGCAAATAACAAGGCCAAATAGGTTAGGTTGTTTTTTGTTGTTTTTTTTTTTTTTTTTTTTTTTTTTTTTTTTGTTTTTTTTTTGTTTTTTTTTTGTCAACTCAACTCATTTATTCAATACTGGCAGATATGTGGGAGAAGAATCATTTTGTTATAAATGACACACCGGTCCCTAGTCTAGTCAAAATGCATATATAAAGCACAGCTTGAATCTCGAAAAGGTCCTGTTAAAAAGTGAACCCTTCATTGTACCTGTTACTCTTATCCAGAGAGATTACAAAATGTATTTGTATTGTAAGAAATTTGTATTGTAACATATTTTATTGTAATATCATTTTATTACAGGTTTAATTCTTTATATATAGAATAATTTTAAAGAAAACCTCACCGAGCGTTTATCTTATAACATAAACCCCGATAAATGTAAAATACCATTATCTCTATGATTTATGAATTCATTTTCGTTTTGCACAGGGATAAAATGTGTAGGTAGATAAAACTTTGAAACATGATACGTTTAGTATTACAAGGGAGATAAATGCAGAAAATCTAAATCTTTAAGATGGCGACCGAACGGTGTACACCTCGATCTTCAGATGAACTTTTTGACTTTTCATGCACACCATGTAACAAGAAAGACAAGAACAGTGAGGCGGTTAAATGCTGTGTTGACTGTCAGGAATATCTGTGTGAGAATTGTGTAGACAATCACAACAGTTTCTCTGTTTTAGCTGGTCATACATTAGTAGGACAGTCGAAGTTTGGTCAAAGTGGATCAGGTAGCAAATATTTACCGTCGGTGCCGACAGAGAGATGTAAGCTTCATTCTCTAAAACTTGTAGACATGTACTGTGCTGATCACGACGCCGTCGGTTGTCATGTGTGCTTTACGATCACGCATAGGTGAGTCTACTTTCGCTTTTAAGACGAAAAGTAAACGTGTGTAAACTTGAAGTTGTATAAACAGAGTCTATATGGTACAGCTTTAATCAAATGTGGTTTTGAAAATGTATACAGTAGAGTGCAATAAAGATTAAATACCGTAATTGGACGAATACTGAATAAAAATTGATTTCTATGTAGTATTTTAATCGAAAAAAATGTCCTTGATTTTGTTCCAATTATATTTAGTAATGGGTCCAGTGGTTGATATCACCAGGGGTGGTAATGGGGACAAGCTCCCATTACTTAGAAAATGCTCCAACGGTGTGCGGAAAATATAGCCTCTGTCAACCTAGTCCAGCTCCTGGCCTGCACGCGTGGCTTGTTACTAGCCCGGCGGACCTGCTTATACTAACAGGAGAAGGGGCGAAGGCGGTTCTCTGGCGCCATAACCACTGCTTCGAGTAGACAGAACTCGTAAGCCTAGGAAGGCAGTCTGTCTAGGAGAAGGAAAACTCTAACTTCAAACCTCCGCTGCCTTGCGGCTATACCCCCTCCGGGGAAAGTGCTAGGTGAAGGAAATCACCAATATAAAAACCAAGGACGGAGTAGGTTCTATAGCCCTGACAGGCAGCTATTCTTTGGGAGGAGGCCACCCTGAGCAAAAACCTCAACCACCGAAGTCGGCGAATGTCAGCCTTTATCGGCGTGGGAAGCGAATCGGACATTCACGCACAACCCATCAGTATGGCCGTACAACTAACGTTGGATCGATGTGGTGTCGTCCTGTTGAACCGTGGACAGGGTAGGGCGGCGCCGGGACCCGAGCCTCGAAGGGGCCCACCAAAAGCTACTGACTGCGGCTCTGGTACTCCTATAGTGACTAGGGGAGGACAGAGTACAGCTACTAGTCACAACCAGCCCCTCCGCATCATGCATTGGAACGCAGAGGGTGTGCAGCACAAAAAGCTAGAGCTGCAAAATTTCCTGAAAACTAACAGCATCGACATCGGCTGCATCCAGGAAATCCATCTTAAGGAAAACAACCGATTCTTCATCAGAGGTTATGAACTTTACAGACATGATAGACAAAATAGACCTAAGGGTGGGGTCTGCACCCTAGTGAAGAATAGTTTACCATCAGTTGAGAAAGAACGCTCCATTGATTCAGACACAGAGTCCATCAGTGTAGAGGTCATCCTGCCAGACAGAAACCTGACTGTCCTCAATCTCTACAGCCCTCCAAACAAGCAGATCAAGCTACCCCAACTAAATGACAACCAGACCAACTGGATAGCAGTAGGCGACTTCAACAGCCACTCTCCTAGTTGGGGATACAAGGAGCTTAATGCCAAAGGCGAGGAAGTTGAAGACTGGATTGTGTCCAATCGTCTCGTCCTCCTTAACAAACCAGATGACACACCAACATTCTATTCTAGAGTCTGGCACACGACAAGCAGCCCGGATCTAGCTATTGCCACAGACGACATTCAGAAAATCTCGCACCGTGAAGTGTCATCACAACTCGGGGGCAGTGACCATAAACCAGTTATCATCACTGTCCAGAAAAGTATCAACAGAGAAGGCAAACTACCACCAAGCTGGAACTACAAGAAAGCTGACTGGAATGTCTTTAAGATCCTGACAGACAGAAACTGTAAGAACATCCAAACTAAAACATCAGATGTGGACAAGGCTGCAAGTTTGTTCACTGAAGCGATTCTCAGTGCCGCTCAAGAGTCCGTACCCAGAGGTAGAAGGCGGGACTACAAACCCTTCTGGACCTCAGAGCTGGACAAACTTCAAAATCAGATGAATGAAGCCAGAGAAATCATGGAAGAAAATCCCTCTGAACAGAACATCCTAAAATATAATCAACTAAAAGAACTTTTTGAGGAAGAAAAGGCAGAACAGACAAGGAAAAGCTGGCATGAAAAAACTGCATCTCTGAATCTCGAGAAAGACACCACAAAGCTCTGGCATCTTACCAATCTGCTGAACAACGACAACCAACAGCAGAAGAAAACAGTCCTCCTAGTTGACAGCGAACCTGTCACAGGAAAGGCCGCTGCAAACCTATTTGCCAGAGTATACGAGGCGGAGAGTAGCGTCAACCTCCCACAAGAACGAGTCAGAGAAGTAAGACAAGAGACCAGAACACTTGAGAACCATAGGGAAAGTGAAGTGAGCCCATGCATGTCTGACAGTCTGACCATGCAGGAGTTACAGGGTGCACTGAAGAAGTTGAAGAAGAAGAAGTCACCAGGCGCAGATGGCATTACCAATGAAATGCTAAAACATCTAGGGTACAAGGCCAAGACTACTCTTCTCTACATCTTTAACCTCAGTTGGCACTCTGGTAAATTCCCTTCCAAATGGAAAGAAGCACACATCACACCCATCTTCAAGAAGGGTAAAGACAAGAGCAAACCAGAGAGCTACAGACCCATCAGTCTACTGAGCTGCACTGGTAAACTCCTGGTGAGGATCATCAACAAGAGGCTAGTCTGGCACCTTGAGTCAAACAACCTGCTTGTCCCAACTCAGACTGGATACAGACAACATCACAGTACGGTAGACCAATTAGCCTACTTCACGCAAGACATAGAAGATGCTTTCCAAGAGAAAAAGAAGGTGCTTGCCGTCTTCTTTGACCTTTCTAAAGCGTTTGACAGAGTCTGGAAGGAGGGTCTGCTTTTGAAGCTGCTTCAGAACGGGGTGTCTGGGAAGCTGCACAAATAGATCAGGGGCTACCTTTTCAACAGAACAGCAAGAGTCAAGCTCGACAACACTCTCAGTCAGCAAGTAAAGATGAGAGAAGGGGTGCCACAAGGAGGAGTAATATCCCCCACATTGTTCCTCGTATACATCAACGACCTTGTGTCCAACCTGCCAAGATGCGTGTCGAACACCCTACATGCTGACGACCTTTCTATCTGGAGCTCCGAAACAAGTGTAGGTACTGTTACAGTTCGAATCCAAACAGCTGTGAACAAGGTAGCAGAGTGGACAGACAGGTGGGCCCTAAACATCAACAAAACCAAGACAGTCACCATGCTTTTCTCACTATCAAGATCCAAGGAGAAAATCAAGTTAACCCTGGACAACATCTCAGTACCCCAAGTGGAAACAACAACATTCCTTGGTGTCACACTCGACTCACGTCTAACTTGGAACCCACACATAGACAAACTTCAAGAAAGAACCATCAAAAAGTTATCCATTATGAAAAAGCTTGCTGGCACAACCTGGGGTGCAAATGGAAAAATCCTGAAACAGATTTACACTGGCACAGTAAGACCGATAGCAGAGTACGCCTCCACATCATGGACAACAGCCTCCAAAACCACTAAGAGCAAACTTGACAAAGTCCAGAACTCAGGCCTACGCATCATCCTAGGGGCAATGAAGACAACACCGGTTGCAGAAATGGAAAAGACAGCCAACCTCGAACCGCTAGAGTCAAGGAGGCAGTGCAAGGTGCTAGTACATTCTGAGAAAGCACGGAGACTATCATCCCATCCGCTCCACTCAAAACTCCAGAGCAGACCCAAAAGCAGACTTAAAAGACAAAGCCTGAGTCACATTGTCAGAGATCTGAATCGTGAAAAGGGAGTGGAAGTTGACACAGACATAGAACCACTCACCCCAGACACATGGATCCCTAGACAACAAACTCCAACAATCAGAGTTGATGTCCCAGGAGTTGAGAACAAGTCACAAAATCCTGTCCAACAAAAAGCCCATACACTGGACATGATCCATCAGCGCTATCCACCACACTCATGGATCCAAGCCTACACCGATGGATCAGCTGAAAGAGCAGTCAAAAACGCTGGAAGCGGGGTGTACATCAGCTACCCTGAAGGGACTCCCTTTACCCTAGCTACTTCAGTGGGCAAACAGAGCTCCAACTACAGAGCCGAGGTACAGGCCCTTCACTCAGCAACACATCACCTGATTGAGCAAGGGATACAGCGAAGGAACGTTGTCTTCCTGACAGACTCCCTGTCAGCTCTACAATCCCTCTCAGCAGGACCATCAAACACCACCACTAGACAGCTGCTGGCACAACTAGACGGCCTGTCAGAACACAACAACGTGGTACTGCAATGGATTCCTGCCCATGTTGGCATTGCCGGCAACGAAGCTGCAGACAAATTAGCCAAGGAAGGGTCAAAGAAGGAGCAACCCCAACCCCCAATATCCTATAATGAAGCAAAGACTTTAGTAAAGTGCTCATTCAGAAACACATGGAAAGACAAAAACGATGGCTACAAATCCCAAAACGACAATATCAACAAACTAAACAGACCCAGCCAAGTTACCATCTTCAGGCTCAGAACTGGACACTGCCGTCTACGAAAGCATATGAAAAGACTTGGTCTCGCCGATACAGCTTCATGCCAGTGTGGAGCAGAAGAACAGACGCCCTTCCACATCCTGCAGAACTGCCCTAACCTGGAAGAGGCCCGCCAGACGTATTGGCCTACAGATACAGCGTACAACAACAAGCTATGGGGCAGCAAAGAGGACCTTAGAAGAACGGTGCAGTTCATCACTGCATCGGGACTTCAAGTGTAAAGGCCGTACAGAAGATGGAACGCATAAATAAATAAATAAATATTTAGTAATGTGGCAAATTTATCCTTATATTACCGGTTGAATATTATTTAATTAAAAGATACATTAATTTCTTTGCTGCGTAATTGAAAATGAGCATTTTGGTTTTTTACTAATATAGACCTTTTTAACTTTACATAATTGATTATTGAGTATTTATTGTTTTTGTCGATATGTTTTATAATCGTTTACAAAAGTGACAGTGTGTTCATTTTGTTTACCTCTGACATCGCTGTAAATATTACCATATGAGCACTTATTGAAGTTGATAAGTAGGCTATCGCTGACCATTTAAATACAGTGTATTTTCATGTACTTGTTTCTGGAAAATAATACACCTCTATTCTGTCTTACGGACAAAAGTGTACTTTGTATCTTGCCAGTAAAAAATATTGTTA